CACACACACACACACACACACACACACACACACACACACACACACACACCATGTAGAGCAAACACAGTCTCCATGGGGTAGCCTTGGCTGATCTGGAACTCACAGAGATCCATCTGGCTTGGCCTCCTGAATGCTGGGATTCAAGTGTGTGCCACCGTGCCCAGACACAGCAGATGTTTTTAATCAATGCCACTTTTCATAGATCCTAAAATATTCCCATAAACCCCCCAAGAGGGAGAAAAGAGTTTTAGTACAGCAGAGGAAGCAAGACTCACCAAATCATCGCGCAGCAGCTCATTCTGGATCTGTTCAATTTTTGCTGATTGCTCTTTCAGTGTAATTTTTAACTTGGAAAGTCGAACCTCAAGCCTAAAATGTATTTGATAATGATTCCAGTATACACTTTTAAAAAACATTATCACAATTTCTGAACTAACATCTGAAAGAATCACTTCATTTTTAACAATTGAAAAGCAGGTGGTTTGGAAAGTTTCATTTTTTTCCTGCCATGTTTTGTGGACAGTGTACATAACAGTGTAAAAAAAATTATACATTTATTTTTTGGCAGGGTTTGGGACCAACAAACTTCCCCTTTCACACACAGACCATTTCAACGATCATAACGCTGAAAGGATTTCCTGGTTTCACGGAGGGGTATTCAGTACCGCGACTGGTGGAATGTCTGTACTACCCTCTTAGGAAACTCGCCGCGCTTTGTGTGCCACTCTAGCTCATACCTTTGCAGGCTGGCTTGCAGGCTGGCCTGAGTCTTCTGAGGACTCTGGGCGAGCTGGCCCTGGGCTCCCTGAAACGAAAGTGAGCAATGAAAAACCAAGCTGTTAGTATCATTCAGGCGCGCCCACTGTCCTGCCCGGACTCTGTTAGAACGCGGCTGAGCCCATTCGCCTGGACATCGTCTACGGAGGCGTCTATTCTCTAACTGTAGAGTTAACTGAGCTGCTACGGCAGGACTTTGATCTCCACCGTACCTAAGACAGCACTGCCTGCAGCAGCAGAAAAGTTAGCTGATGTTCGCGGTGCGCGGAGGGACATCTTGTTGGATGTACACATTGACAGAGCTGGTAAAATGTGGGGATTTGTGTGTCTGAATTTCCAGAAACACCTCAAAACCTATCACTTAAGAAAAAAACGGATTTTATGTATACATATATGAATGATCACGGAGATATGCCAGTGATGACAAAAATTAACATGCTATTTTAGGTGATAATTAGATGCTTTAAGAAATGATCTGAGAGACAGTATTTTTAAACTACATTTTGGGGCAATTATTTAAATTTTATCATCCTACTTTGTAGCAAGCTTTTAGGTATACAATCTTTCTTTTTAAAAGTTTTAAAATTAATTTATTCATTTCACATCCCAATCATATCTCCCTCCCTTGTCTCCTCCTGGTCTCACACTCCCTCCCCCTCCCTTTCCCCTATCCCTATTTCCTAGTCCTCAGAAAGGGGAGCCCTCCTCCTTTACCAACTGACCCGCATCCTCTTCCTCTGTGGCCTGGGAAGGCAACCTCCTCTGGGGGAGGTGATCAAAGAGCAGGCAACAGAGTTTATGTAAGAAACAGCCCCTGCTCCCCTTACTAGGTCACCCACCAGGAGACTGAGCTGCTCATTGGCTGTATCTGAGCAGGGGGCCTGGGTCCTCTCTGTGCGTCAGTGTCCACAGGCCCCCCTGGGCCAGATTTGTTGGGTCTGTTGGTCTCCTTGTGGAGCTCCTGTCCTCTCCGACCCCCACCCCCAACACACACCCCCTTCCATAAGCTCCCTGCACTCTGTTCAAAGTTTGGCTGTGAGTCACAGCATCTGCTTCGATCCTCTGCTGGGTGGAGTCTTTCAGAGGACATCTATGGGAAGCTCCCTTCCTGTTCCCTCTCCTCGGTCACAGCAGGTGTTTCTTCTATTTGCCCTTCTGAATGAGAACTAAGCATCCTCTTTAGGGTCCTCCCTGTTACTTAGCTTCTTCAGGTCTTAAACTTCTTTTTTTTTAATTGAAAAATACTATTTTTTTCATACAATGTATTTCGGTTATGTTTTATTCCCTTCTCCATTTTCTTCCAGATTCTCTCCACTACCCTACCCACCCAACTTGATGTTCTTTTTCTATCTCCTTAAAACAAACAAAACAAAAAACCAAGAAACACCCCTCTCACAAAAAACATAAATCAAAATAAACAACAACCTAAAGACCAATAAGACAAAAAAAAAAATGACCCATAAAGCAAAATGAGATAAAAAGTGAGACTGGCTTTCCACAGCTGCCATAATGGTCTGGGTTTCAGCTCAGTCATTTAGGGGTGATGTGAACTTGGGTCAGCCAACTTTTCACACCTTGGTGTCTTCATCTGTAGGACAGAGTTAATGACACAGTGATTACCACACAGCAGTGTCAGGCTGATTAGACTGGGGAGTATCCAGGAAGTACACACACACACACACACAAGCACACGCACACACACATCATTTTGGCACATGAGAAGCTGTACTCAATATTTGCTATTAACATTAGTATTTTGATTATACTTTATGTTCTAATGAAATCTGACTATTTCACACAGCTATTATGCCAGTGAAAGCAGTCTTTTACATAAGGCCAAGGGTGACGCAGGGTAGGGCTATAGCAGAGGCTGTGGAGGAGAGGACCATCCAGGAGTTGCTGATGCTTGGATTGTGTCTGTCCCGGCAGACAGTAGCAGATTTCCAAAGGAAAACTAGGAATGGAAACTGCAGTCCTCAATACCAGTCCCACAAAAGAATATGTCACCATCCTTTTACAGCTTAACCCTCTCCTGAACACTTTGCATGCTTACACTAAAAGAATAATGGTGATTGAGAGAGAGAGGGAGGGAAGGAGGGAGGGAGAGAGAGAGAGAGAGAGAGAGAGGCTTAACAAACTACTTCAGATGTGCAAGTCCCAGTATGCAGACACAAGAAACACAGAAGCTGCCACAGCGTGCTTCCTCTAATAACTGATCACTGGTTTCATGCAATGAACTCCAGTGAGAGTGACTTGCAGACAAGGAATTCAAGAGAATTATTATAAGCGCTTAAACAATTCATAGAGGATAGAAATACACCACAAAATAACAACGATCTGAATGAACTGTTGAACTCCATTTAAGATACGAAGATTAACTCAATAAAGACAATTGATTAAAAAATATACAAGCTTAAATGTTCTGAAAATAAAAAAAAATTAAAAATCAAAGGGAATTCTCACCAACAGAATGAATCATGTAGAAAACAAGAGTGTCAGGATTAGAAGACAAGGTAGAGGAATTGGATGACTCTGTAAAGGTCAGTGAGAACTTTAAAAAAAAAGAATCAAATGGGAGAATTTTGGAACGTGGTTAAAAGGCCCAACATTATAATAATGGGCATAAAGGAAAAAGAATACCATAGGGAAGGTGTAGAGAATATTTTCAATAAAGTCATAGAAGCAAATTTCTCAATCCTAGAAAATTCCCCATGACATATTAAAGTTAAAACATCAAAAATACAGAATAAAGGGAAGGTATGGAAAACTCCAAGAATGAAGAGTCAAATAACTTATGAAGGCAGGCCCACTAGAATGACAGTTGATTATTTAATAGAAAAATTTAAAGCTAGATGTGTTTGGAAAGACACATTCCAAGTTCTGAAATCCCCAAACCACCAATCCAGATTATTATACATAACAAAACTATCTATTAAAAGTGAAGGAAACATAAACCGTTTTCCACATGGCTATGGGGTAATCTTTTTTCTTACATAGAGAATTTTTGTCTTAGGTGGTACAAAAAGGCTAAGAGAAAAATAAAGTTGTTGCTTTGCTCCATCTATCAAATATATGTATGTATGTATGTATGTATGTATGTATGTATGTATGTATATGTATGTATATATATGTGTAAAGTTACAGCTTGTAGAAGCTTGCTTCATCCCCTGTGTGTCTGTCTCTCTGTGTGTATGTATGCATGTTATGTATGTGTGTCTCTCTGTGTGTATGCATGCATGTATGTGTGTATGTATGTAGTATGTATGTGTCTGTGTATATGTGTCTGTGTCCCTCCCCTTTTTGATGGCCCCAGAGAGTTTCTTGCTAGTCCCAGAAAATTAAGTTTCACTCCCTCAGAGAAAAGTCTGGTGAGTGATTAATCACCATCTCCACACACACACCCCTTCCTCAGTTTTCCTGACCTGTTAAATCTGGACTTCAAAAATTAACATTAAGAAAATAATAGATGGGGCTGGAGAGATGGCTCAGTAGTAAAAAAAAAAAAAAAACCCTTTGCTGCTTTTGCAGAGGACCTTGGGTTTAGTTTCCAGCACCTCCATGGCAACTCGTGTACATCCTGAGGTGCTATGTAGGCTGCTGGGGGAAAGATCTACCAACAGACTTCTTACCCAGCTGTGCACCCCATGAGCTACAAAAATGATTTGTGTGGTAAGTTATGTCCACGTGCAATGGTGCCATGAGCGTATGGTGTAACCAACTGCTCCCTGAGTGGCGATAAAGCCTGGCCTTCAGGAGAAAACTCGTGCCCAGCACTGTAAATCTAGCCAAGAACCCACGGCTGGGGGGGCCATGGACCCAAGGGGCGGGCCTGCAACTACTGTTCTGCGGAGTGGACACAGGATCAACCTGGCTTGAAGTGTGTATCTTTGTATGTGCAGATTAGTGCGGTTCTTAACCCTCATTAGAGAAGTTTCTTTCTGCAGTGGACGGCCACTGATGCAAAAAACCCACGGCTGGCCGAAGTGCTGTTAATTAGAGTCACGGGACTACGGAGTCACGAATGGGGCTTCTATGTTACGCCCCACCTCTCCCCAGGCTCACTGGGAAAGTGGGGCCGGAAAGCTGGTAAGGGTTAGCCATCCAGGTGTGCCGGCCCATGTCTGCTTCTGCTGCCCCGGTGTCCAGGTATGCTGTGCATCAGGCTGCACTGGGGGAAGAGAAGCGTAGCCGGGGCAGGAGCAGGAGGGCGCAGTGCCGGGTGCTCAGGAAACAGTCGGTGAGACAGTTTGTTTAATCGAGGGCATCTACGGCTACTTAAACCTCCGGGGAGTGGGTAGAAGCTTGTGGGCTGAGCGTACATCATTGGCCGGGGCCGAGGTGAACCGCTCCACGTCCGAGAGCGTGTGGGCAGCACAGAGGGACTTGGGGAGTTGTTTTTAAATGGAGGATGTGAGGCTGGATGGAATGGGAGTTAGAGGAGTTAGGAGGGGGAGGCAAACATGATCAAAATGCATGTCATGCATGTATGAAATTCTTCTAAGAATAAAAAGGTTTTATTTCGAAAAATGATCTAAAACACATTTTGAATAAAACTATATTGGCATTTCTGCACAAGTTATTTTGAAATTAATAAAATAAGCTGTATAGCTCTAGGGCTGAGGAGGTGACAGTGGAGGAGTGTCTGCTGTATATTACAGAATATCATGGCTTTTCATTGCTGTGCACAGTCTGAGAAGTCTTAAGAAGGCTCACACAGTCTGAGCCTTCTTAAAGGAGGGGCTGTTCCTGGGAAGTGGGACTCTGCTGGCTTTATTTTTCCTCACTCTACAGTCGTTGAAGCATTAAACTAGCACATCAATCTCCTTAATAGCACATGAGGGAAGTCAAGTCACTGTCCCAAAGTAGAGAATGTACTGTCTGTAGATAGCAGATTTCTAAGGAAAACACTGAAGGCCTTTTCTTTGCATTAGCTTATTATGAATGTCATGACCCGGACAGACAGACAGAGTTAAACTGAGAACATTGCTGTAACTTGGAAAATGGAAGCAGGATGGTCAGGAACTCAAGACCAGCCTTGGTTCTGCATCAGAAGCAAATTACTCAATGCAACATTGCCACAGCCTCTCTTCAGACACGCACATGATCTGCATCTAAGGCTCAAATTCTCTGCCTTTTCCAAGTACATCCAGTACAGACTGGAAAATGCCTCAGGCAGCTTAGTGCTTTGTGTGGTTACCATTAAATCTTACTGCAAAGGTGATTTGCCCCAACCCTAACTTATAAGACGTTACATTTTGTCCTTGAGAAGCCTGCAGTCAGGGCTCTGACTTCATTAAGGGTTCCCACACCCCTTAGGCATCGCCACAAAGCCCTAAAACAAACCGCTGAAGGCGAGTGACCTTCTCGAGGGCGGTTACCCACACAAATCACTTTAACTGCACAAATAAGCAAATTTGTCAAGGAGCAAAAGCAGCTGTAGAGACAGGCATGGGTAATACTGCTACCTCAGAAAACATAAAACAAGACCCAGTACAGATCCAAATAATGACAGCCCTGCTTTAACATAAAACACTCAATGGGGGCTGGAGAGATGGCTCAGTGGCTGAGAGCACAGTCTGCTCTTTCAAAGTTCCTGAGTTCAATTCCCAGCACCCATATGGTCATCCACAACTGTCTTTAACTCCAGTTCCAGGTGATCTGACACCCTCATATCAATGCACATAAAATAAAATTAAATGAATTTAAAAAACAATTAAATGAATTAAAACGACCATTTAAGGTCATTTAGAGTTTAGCAGCTGGCTAAGCTCCAGTGACCTTCTAGTTCTTCATCAGAAAACACGTGGAGAGCACTGTAAGATGCCTAGATTTGTAATTCTCAGACTTAGCTATTAATGCCTCAGTTTAACCTTTCTCCTAAGTAAATCAGGAGTGGATGGTGTAACATGGAGGTCAACAAAGGTGTTGATCCATCACAGTGTCCTGAAGATTACACCGTCTAGTGACAAGGCGCGTGTCTCAAGTTTGTGTAACTGCACACCTTCATGTTTTCATAGTACTGAACTGGCAAGTAATAGCCTTTGTTTCCTGAGCACCTCCTGTTGGTCACGTGAATTTACCTGAAGACATACACAGAACTGAAGGGATCCAACTAACACCTATTAAGCTCTTAGAAATATGAAATTTACTCACAACTAACTTACCTGTCTCAAATCATTTTCTATGGCCTTTACTTCTCCAACCATGGTCCTGATTCCAGGGTGTTGAGTCCAGTCCACAGTTTCACCATATTGTTCTTTTTCCCTTTTTAACTGCATCTTCTTTTGCTGAAACAAAAACTCAGCATTTTCTTGCTTCTCATCTTGCTTCAAGGGGAATCTGAAGTATTAAAACACATTACAACCCATTTTTTAGGAAAAACAATGTTCATTGGGATTTCGTTATACTCACAAATAATCTTCTTGATTTAATATCCTCCCAAACAATTGAATAAATTGACCTGAAATAAAATAAAAGTTCATCACCACCATGTGTTCCAGATGTGCCCAATGATTCGCAGTGGAGAGGGGCACCTCCAGATGTTCACAGTAGGGTCTGTCTGTAGCCGAAACCAAGATCACAAGGATGAATCTGCTATGTTATCTCTTATCATGTTTGTTCATAACACTTTGAGCATATCTCAATATTATTTATTACAGAAGAAGCATAACAGTCTTTTGTGAACAATATATGATCTGATCATTTAATAGCAATGAGTTGTTCTTTAACATAGAAATCTGAATTAATTTTATCAGTGTATGAAAGACACATGTGGGATAAATGAACTAGTGATTGTTATCTCCTTTTTACTTCATTTGTGGTAACAAAAGTACAGATGGGGTCTAGCTCATCAGCAGGAGGCTTGTCCTTCATGACCGCTGTTGTAGGGTCCCTGGCAATGTAAATGAGTAATTAATTAAATGAAATAATTGTATAAGTTTAGGAATCCTTGAGTTGAGAGATAATAATCCTTTCTTACTCTTTGGATGGAGCTATAAGTCAATATTAAAAAAAAAAAAGTAAGATGTAGTGATCCAAGCTTAAAAAAGATTCCTCTACTTCAAACAAATAATTGTATATGGATGATGTTTTAAAAATATTTAGAAATTCAGAAAACAAAGTCCCAATGGTGTTTCTTGTAGCATTGACTGCAACCAAAAAATAAAGAAATGATCCCAAGTTCTCATTCCTAAGTGGACTCAGCACAGCCATTCAAATTCCAGTCTTGAGGACTATGAATTTACTTATTTAAAATACTCATCATATGCAAATGAGGTGTGACACTTTCCCCAATAATTCCACACTCAAAAAAAGAAAGGAAATGTTTTTTCTCCTAGAATACTAAACCATAAATCAGCAGGTTAAAAAAATCCCATTGAGCTGAGGCACAGTGGCACACGCCTGTAATCCCAGCACAGGGAGGGAGAGGCAGGTGGATCTCCGTGAGCTTGAGGCCAGCCTGGTCTACAGAGTGACAACCAAGCCTACACAGAGAAACCGTTTTTCCAAAAACCAAAAACCAAAAACCACAAACAAACAAACAAACAAACAAACAAATCCCACTGCCTATCTATAATACAATATGATGAGTTCAAATGTTTCTTTAAAATTAAGATGTCATGGGGCTAGAGAAATGGCTCAGCGGTTAAAAGCACTGGCTGCTCTTGTGAGAACCTGGTTTGGATTGCTAGCATCCAAACAGGTGGCTCACAGTCACCCGAAACTCTAGTTCTGGGCAATCTGACCCCCTCTCTTCTGGTCTCTGGGCCACTGCATGAAGGAAGTATACAGACATACATATAGGCAGACACACATATAAAATAAAAATAAAAATCCAACTAAGATATCATGCCTCCAAGTGCAGAGTTCTTCCCATTCCATTTCTTTATGCTGTAACCAGGATTTTATTTTTTTAATTTCTGTTTGTTCTCTCTGCACTCCACCAGCTTTATTTTCCATCTTTTCAAGTTTTTTTGTGAGTAGTTCATAGTGGCTATTTTTAAGTTCTATTAGTCTTTCATATGAATGAGTCATGTCCCAGAGTTTCCACAGGCTACTGGAACCTGTATGAGAGAGAATAGCATGAAAATAAATTAGACATGAGCATATTTTGTACATAGAGACTACTTTTCCACAGTCAAGCAATCATTTACACACTGAACAATAAGCACTATATGCCTGTAACAGAGAACACAGTGTTAGATTCTGCAGATAAAACAAATGAAACCTTGTGTGATGCCTACTTGGTTGTCGATTTAGTCAACAACCATTTGGGTCTTGGAATTAAGACCCAAATGGCAGGGCACACCTGTGGGGAAATTTTTTTTTTTCTTAATTCATCATTTGAAATGGAAAGCTCTACTTCTAATCCAGATCAAAGGTGGGAAGCCTTTGATCCACATCTTCTGGGATGGGAAGATCCACCTTTAATCTAGGCCACACCTTCTGTTGGCAGCCCATATAAAAGACACAGAAGAAGGAAGCTTTCTAGCTCATTGCCGCCTTCCTCTGGGTCTCACCCCAACTCCCTCCCCCCCCATTAGAGCCCATTTCTCTGGGATTCTGGCGTATGCTGAAGGCCAGCTGAGAGATCCAGCCTCATGGACTGAACAACTACTGGATTCTAGGGCCTTTCCTTGGTTAGACAGCCATTGTTGGACTAGCTGGACCACAGCCTCCAAGCCATTCTAATAAGTCCCCTTTATATAAATATATTCATTCTATAAATTCTGTTATTCTAGAAAACCTTGGTACCTTGCTTTTGTTTAGTTTCAAATCTAGGGGAGAAAAGATACAAAATGAGTATTATATATTCAGATAGATACTGTAAGCAAACAGTTCTATGACCACCCATGAAAATGGATCTAAAATGGGCTCGAAGTAGATTGTCCCAAAGAGGAACAAGCTACACTGAGAAATGGAGGATGAGTTGGAAGCCATTATTTCATTGCAATCTACTTTCATCCAAGATGCTGTAACAGGTACTGATTTCATTTCATCGAAACAACAAGAAAACCAAGATAGCCAAAATATTTTCATGCTAAAATAAACATAAACCCCCACAGGATTACCAAGTCAAGTAGTGAGAAATGTGTTCCCTGACGATAAAGAACTCAAACTGGAATTTAATGATTAAAATTTAACAAATATTGGCAATAATGATTAAAATTTAATAAATATTGGCAAAAGCATAAAAAAAAAGACAGTAGTTTATTAAAGGAGAAATACAGCTCAGGCCTACTCTGTTGCTAGTTTCTATTGTCAACTTCACACAGCCCAAAGTCAGCTGGGAAGAGGGAACCTCAGCAACCAGATTGGCCTGTGGCCATCTGTGGGGGTGGCCTTGACTGCTAATTGAATCGGGAAGACACAGCCTGAATCAGTCACACCATCCCAGCTGAATAAAAGAAGCTCGCTGGGTATGAGCCCATGAGAGCCGGTGAGTGAGTCAGCAACATGGCTCTTCCATGGTTCCTGACTCCAGGTACCTTGCCTTGGCCTTGCCTCAATGTTGGATTGTGACCTAGAAGTGTGGGCTGAAATAAACCCAGGTTGCTTTCATTTGTGTGGGTTATCACAGTGATGGAAAAGGAAACCAGAACACCCAGGGCACTGGGCTATAATCCAGCTACCCAACAGATTGAGGGACAGGAGTGGTAAAAGCCATTTCATACCCAAGCCACACGGGGAATTCAAGGTCAGCCGAGAAACTTACCGAAACTCTTTCAAAGTGGCAAAGTAACCAGAGAGCTAGAGATACAGCTCAGTGGTACGCCCTGTGCCTGGCATGCACAAGGCATAGGTTTAATTCCCAGAAACACACACACACACACACACACACACACACACACACACACACGGCCTAGGTTTAATTCCCAGAAACACACACACAGACACAGACACACACATACATCATACAAATGGGAAATAAACACATGGAAAGCAGCTTAACGTTGTGTTTAAAAACCCTGGTATCGGGAATGGGTTATCTCTTTCTTGAATTGTTGGCCAATGGGGTCATGTTACACTCTATAGTCAATACTCTTGATTACCCTCCAGAGCTTGACATTAAGACCCGACTGTTGAACACCACACGAACTTGAGTAAGAGAACAGGGGAAAAATCAAGCTGGTACTCACGTGGAAACCTCACCCCCACTGGCCAGCTTTCGTGCTGGGAGGTGCTATGCGTGCTACTGGAGGACAAAATGGTCACCAGTGTCACCCAGCTGCGGACCCTGCAAACTGCAGCAGATGCCGGACAAGATATGCCCACTGGCGAAACAGTGCTGGGAATGTCACAGGACTAGCCATTTTCTAAGGTCTGCGGCATGAGGTGGAGTCCGTTCCTGGCACTGTTAAAGGGGCCAAGAATCTGGGGCTAGATACTTTGTAGGCCCTAGGGAAGAACCCAATGCTATTATTTTGCTCTACATGTAAATCAGAAGGTCTCTCAGCCCTCATCAGAGACGCTTCTCCTGGCAGTAGATGCTGATGAATACAGACTCTCAAATAGTCAGTGTGTGGAGAAGAAGAGACTGTGGAATGCTCGGCTCCAAATGGGACATACATCTCACACCCTTCCCCCAAAGCTCAGGGATCTTAGAGGAAGAGGGGCTGGAAAATTCTAAGAGGCAGAGGTGTGGCTAACATCAAGGCCACAGCATTTTTCAGACATGCCAGGGCAGTTACGCATATGAGTCACATTTGGTTGTTAGAGCATGCAGAAGGCCTGTACGAGCTCAAGGCAGAAAAAAAAATCCCGGTACCAGAAGCGGGTTAAGGATGGGATCCCTGGTAGGTTGTCCACAAAGCCGGGGCAGGCCCCACTCTCAAGTCTAACTGGGCAACACACTGGCCTCCATGGGGCAGGGGGCAAAACTCTGGGGGGAGTGAAGGGGAGGGTGGCTATGGGAGGTGCTGGGGAAGGTGGGCAAGATGACCAAACTATATCATATGAAATTCTCAAAGAATTATTAAAATATTGTCTTTTTTAAAGACACTGATATATATAAAAGCCACTTGCTAGAATGGTGGGAATGAAAATGCCCATGATAATACTATAGTAAAAACACAGAGGAACTGGACATTATAACTCATATAACGGTAATGTGGGTGGAAAATGATACAAGTACTTGGCAAGATGAATTAGTAGCCTGTTAACAGGGGAGGAACCTAAGACAGGGAGGCAATGGTGGTGGTTTCGTGTTTAAACATGCAGGCACGTGGCACACTTTACATACACGTAATTTATTTTTGGCCAGGAAGACCTCAGAGTTGCTGAAAACACAAGGTTCTGTTACAGTAACAAATGTCTAAGGAGTAGTGGGCAGAGGACAGACGCACAAAAAACTAGAGGAGCCAGGGAGAGGGAGCTTTTAGCAGTGAGAACTGACAGCTGGGTGAATTTTCAAAATAGGCCATTCTAGTGGCAGAGTGGATGGAGGTTCCCCAGGCGGAGTTGGAGGTGGGATGAACCAGGCCTCAGAAAAGCCCCTGGCGTTGGGTGCAGCAGGGGCCGCGAAGCTTTCGGCTGGGAGCGTGGAGCAGCTCTCCGTCTAGTACGGCCTAAGCTCAGGCCCAGAACGATTTCAGCGATTTCTGAGTCAGGCCTGAGGGAGGCCAACGGAGGCCCCACGCACGCGCAGCAGTTCCTCTGTCCGCGGGGCGCTTGCACGCGCCCTTTCGCCCCTTCGCGGTGCTTGCTTAGCAGTAGATGGACTCTGGGCAAGGGCGAGGCAACTCACCGCTGCCTGAGGCTGTCACAGAAGGCTGACTCCCGCAGTTAGCGTCTTCCATTTCATTTACTTGGGTTTCTGTCTGTAAAACAGCACGAGTTCAAAACGTCCCCCCGAATTTATAAAGCATTAATAAATGCACCGAAGTGGTGGTCTAAAACTTAGATAAAACGAGTAAGTAGAAATGTGAGATAAAACTGATTTTGTCAAATGATGCCCCGATTAAGATCTCCTGTTTATTAATAGTTAATTTTGAGACAAGGTTTCATAGCTGGCCTTGAACTCCCAGAGATCTGTCTGCCTCTAGGATTAAAGGTGTGGGCCATCATACCTAGCCCTTATGTCTCCTGTTTCTTTTTTAATGAATGAATGAATTACAATTTATTCACTTTGTATCCAGGCTGTAGCCCCTTCCCTCTTCTCCCCCCCCCCGTCCCACCCACCTTCCCTCTTCTCCCCCATGTCCCTCCCCTAGTCCACCGGATAGGAGAGGTCCTCCTCCCCTTCTATCTGACCCTAGCCTATCAGGTCTCATCAATGTCTCCTGTTTCTTAATTTCTTTTTCAAAACATACTTTTATAAAAGTTTTTTTTTTTACCTTACCTCTATATTTCAGATGACACAACATCATACTGTCTTTGACAATATGTCTTTATAAAATAATGTTTTGATACTTTTACTTATTGCTAAGACTAACATTAACAGTTGCTTGCAGTTATGCTTTAATTAAAAGTATTTATTCTTGTATGTAGCACAATAAAGCTGCCACACAGTGCTTGTGGGGTGAGCGGACGACCCTGAAGTATGTTCTCTCCCTCCCTCTGTATGTAGGTGGGTTCCAGGGAGTTAACCTGGCCACCTGGCTTTTTGACAAGTACTGCTTACTGAGCCACCTCAGCAACCCCAGACACTTATTAAAAAAAAAAAAGAAAAAAAAAAAAAAAAGAAAGTCAACTTAAGTATTCTTTTCTTCCCCCCAAGACAGGGTTTCCCTGTGTAGCCCTCACTATCCTGGAACTTGCTTTGTAGACCATGTTGGCCTCGAACTCACAAAGATGTGCCTGCCTCTGCCTCCCTGAGCACCAGGACTAACTCCACCGTGTCTGCTGACTTAGGTATTTATTACAAGTTAGGATTGGGTCTAAATAACTGCAGCCTCGCAGTATACAGGGAAGCGGTTCTTTCTGGTTGTCTGGGGAGCAGGCAAACGGCAAGCCGGGGTGGCTCCGTGGCTGTTCCCCTTGGCTGCTGCTGGGGTTCCAGGTTCCTGTCTTGGAGGCGTTAGACTAAAAGGGGAAGTGTGGAGAGGCGAGCCTGCCTTTACCTGGCCTCCCAGCTGGGCCCACACAGCTGTGAACACACTCTTTTACTCTTTGCTGTCCCTGCTTTGGGGATCTCTGGGCATCTGTGCTGAAGTTTCAACAGGATGGACTTTGGGGTGGCTACTTCGGGGCTCCTTTGATTTTCCTCATCCTCTTTTTTGCCTTGCTCTGTGTCTCAGGCCAGGAGGCCCCTACAGGGCCATGGCCAGCAGAACAGCTCCAGACTTGGTCTCACTTGGTCTCACTTGGCAGATTGCCCCTCTGCCCTGGCTCTCAGCACCCCTCATCACTAATTCCTGCACCGGGGGCTGGGGTACTGAAGTGGATGCCCACAGGGTCCCCAGATGTAGAAACTGGGAACCCTGGAAACCTTTGCCTGACTTGGGGCCTTTGCCAGCCTTGCTCATCTGACTGGGAACATTCTCTAACTCATTCTTGCCCCAAACCCAGGCTCGTGATTCTGCTCGTTTTGCAGGTGGATTGTGGGAATGACCCTGGGACACGAGCAATGTGTAGAATGGGTAAGATCTCCTGTGTATCTCACCCAGTGTCCTGACCTGAAACCACCAGGACCTGAGAATCTGCATCTGTCATGGCCCCCTCCCCCCAGCATCAAACTCCACAGTCTCCATCGCCTTCAGGGAGAAATGGCTTCCTGAGGTTACTGGTTTTAGCAGCCTGGCACACAGAAACATTGCCCTTGGGCAATCCTCTGGATGAAACTCTTGTTTTCCTGTGATAAAATGCTGCTGATTCCAAAATCTTTCTTGCCACAGCTGTCTCTATAGGACAGACACTGCTCTCTCGAGGACCCCCCACGGTGGCGGCGGGTAGGGGCGGGCAGTTCTGGGATGGGCAGTGGGAGGCTGCAGGTTCACGTCCTTCCTGCTCAGCGTTAAGGTGACACTGATGGCAGCTGTGGCAGCTGTGCCCCCCCTCCCTGTATGGTGTCACTTGGCCTGTAGCCCAGTCCCCCCACCCCCCGGGGTCTGCTTTAGTCCTACAACCAATCAAACTGTGTTCCCGACAATTTGTTTACAGTACCTCCTGCTTTTCTTTAGCTTGTTTCGTTGTCAGCCTTAAAAGAATAAAATAAAATCTGTTTAGGCAAATGTTAAATGTAAAAAACACAAGCTCTGTCTTTTTTATATAACCATCTCTGCAGTTGTAATTTACTTCATGTGTCCATGAGAGTTAAAGCACAATCATTTCCTGTAAAGTGGATTCCACTGCAAACAGATGTTAAACTTAAGGGACAAAGAATAACAGCACTTTCGAGAGTTCTAATGATCAACTTGACTCAACCAGGAATCAGCTGAGAAGAGAATCTTAGGGAGTTTTAGATCAGGGTGTCCCGAGGTCATGTCCATAGCAGACAGTCTTGATGGTAGGTTAGTTAAGTGAGGTGGGAAGCCTGTGTGTGTGGGGGGCACCGTTCCTGTGCAGCGGATCCTGACCTATAGAGATGTGTAGAGAGGGAGCTGAATTCAAGGCCCATGCATGCCTTTCTCTCTGCTCTTGGCTGTGGATATGACAGTGTGGTGGGCTGTGGCCGGAACTGTGAGCTAAATCAACCCTTTCTCCCCTGTGTCACTTGTTGCCTGGGTATTTTATCTTAGCAACAGAAATGAAACCAGAGCACGACTGATATTGCCATGAAGAATTATATTTAGATCCAAGTAAAGGTAAAGTTAGCATTATACCATGAGGTTTCATTCTTATTGTCATGAAAAGACAAAATCAGAATTACAGACACTGAAACTCATTTAGAAAAAAAAATTACTTAGGTTCTCCTCGGAAATCACACCCCCTTTTGAATACTGACTACTTTCTTTAAAGTGCATGAGGGTTTTAGCCTGCATACACATCTCCACCTGTGCCCTCAGAGCTGGAGCTCAGACCTGGGACCTCTGACCCACGGAGCCACTTCTCCCACACAGAGAAAGCCCTCCTTACAGCTGAGGCAGCTGCTCTACCTACTGCGCAGCTGGGGCCCATGGCCCTGAGCACTCTTCCCCTCGCAATCTGTGTGATAATATTCTAGACAATCTGTAAAGGAATTGCAGAGGAAAGGAAGGGCCAGCCACCGTGAGTGCACAAAGCAAGCCGAGCAACTCAGAGGTAAACCTCAGAACTTCTGGGGTTGGGCCATATTGTCTAAATTGTAAATGCCGCATGCGACAACTCGCTGTGAAAACAGTATGTACTATAAAGTGATAGAACAGCAGATGAATCCACGTTTGTATATCTTTTTGGTTATAATTACAAACAGTAACTTCAGAGTTTTGCACTTAAACAAAAGGCTGAGCTCTGCATGGCCTCAGATTCAGCTGTGCAGGAGTCTGTGCAAAGGCCATAAGTTCTGAACCCGGCTGCACTATAGAGTGATTCCAAGGTCAGTCTTCGTGGCTTAGACTGTCTGATGGGATGGAGCTCGGAGGTACAGTGCCTGCTTAGACACGAGGCCCTGGGTTCAACACCTTCATCAAAATATGAAGAACATGGATAAACTAACAGAATTTAGAACTCTCTCTATAGGCAAATTTGTCATTCTACCTCCAATAAAATGAAGTTACATTTTCAGAATTCTCCCGCACGTGTCTTCATCAGCTCATCACCCCTTTCACACTCGCTCTGCTCTTAGCAGACCCACAGCACTGTTGGTGCTGTTGTACGAGTGGAGGCTGGTAATCTCTGCCATAGTTAACAGTTTACTTAGCGATCGCAGCTGCACACAAGGAAACTTTGCTCATCTCCAGAATGTGAACAACCTTTAGACCCAGAGACCTCGAGCTCACGAGCAGACGGCTAGCCACGATGAGCGCTTTGGAACACACCGAGGATAGTCAGGTTCTCAGCAGGCTCAGGGTCGTAATACTCTGTTATTTTATAACACTACAAACTTTGTGTTACAGCCTCCTTTCTAACGTTTGATTTTTAAATTGTGTGTGTGTGTGTGTGTGTGTGTGTGTGTGTGTATTTGCACGGGTGCAGTGCAGTCATCCAAGGAGGTCACGGGAAGGCATCTGATACCCCAGAGCTGGAGTTACAGGCTGCTGCAGCTGCCTCTGTGGCCCCTGGGAACCCAGCCCGGGTCCCTCACAGAAGAGGTCACTTGTAACCACTGAGTCATCTCTCCAGCCCCACAGCTTAGTTTTATGTCATCATTCCAACTGGCAAATATAGTAGCATTCCATTTCGGATCCATTTAACATGAACAGTCTCTGTCTAGTCTCTGTTTCTATCTCTGTCTCTGTCACTGTCTGTCTCTGTCTCTGTCTCTCTCTCTCTCTCTCTGTGTGTGTGTGTGTGTGTGTGTGTGTGTGTGTGTGTAAACAAGGTCAAATGGGAGTCTACTATTAGCCAGATATAATGTATCAAGATTTCAAATACTTTGTCATACAAAAGTTTCCTTTGCATTCAGTGTTTCCTATACTGGACCATTTTTATCCTCAAGCAAATATCTTCTAAAAAGCTTCATTTTAAAAGGAAAAAATGCTCTTAGAGTTCACATCCCTTTTTACTGGTTGTCACCCACTTCTTGGAGAAGAAAAAAGTCTCCAAGGACAGGAATATCCTGTGTACTGTCTGGCTTCATTGATGGCTCCTTATTAAACTCAGCTGTCAGTCACGCGTCTGCATCTGTCTGCCAGCAGGGTACGGGTGTTCTGAACGCAGGTGACTGCTCTGCTTTATTTCGGAAAATAACTCTCTGCTAGCTCTTCTTCACAGGAAATACAGGATTGGCAGGTTTTACCTTCTTTCAGCCTGATCCAGTTCAGTCAGATGGGGGCCGCCCTTCACCCGCAGCAGACCAGCAGCTTCTGGAGGGAACTTCTCAAATACCGGGGTGGTCACAGGCTCTCTAAGCATCCATGTTTCCCTCTCGCTTTTCTTTGCTTCTTTCTCGCACGTGTCAGGAACATTCCTTTGAAAAATTCATAAATACCAACGTTTTCTAGTACAACTCTTGATAAAGCTTAAACAGCACTTTGGTGGCGCTCCAGCTCCTCTCCATCTGAGTCCATTTACTACTTGTAGAAACATTACAGAGTACTGGGTAAGGACAAGGAAAGTCAGAGTCATTCTTAAAATTGGCAAATATAGGAGCATGAGTTTGCAGACCAAGAGCTGTGTCTGAGCATATGCAAAGCTTTACAGAAAAGGTCCAGCAAAACAAAAGAGCTCATCAGGCAAAAACTGGGGGAAACTAGTTATGGGGATCGGAGAGATGGCTCAGCAGGTAAGAACACTTGTTGGTTTTGCAAAGGACCCAAGTTTGATTCCCAGCCCCAACATGGTGGCTCACACCACCTGCAACTCTAGCTCCCTCTTCTGGTTCCCATTGGCACTGCACACACCTGGCACACAAAAACATGCAGGAACAACACCTGTAATGCATACAAGAAAATAAACAAATTCAAAAAGCAAATTCTACTTATAGGACAGAATGTAATCCCAGAGACTAGGAGTGTGTCAACTAGGCATGAGCTATAAACTTAAAAGGGAAAACCTGAAACAGACAGACATAAGTACTCAGAGATGAGTGCCACGTTCACGGGGACTGCTACATAAAAAGTGGGCACTCACAGGAATCAGGTAGGTGCTAAATTTGATTTTGTTTTGAGAGATAACAATTTTAAATATCAAGCCACCTCAATATATACAGGATGAAGTAAAAATTTGAGGTATCTTTGGGGGCAAAACCTTAATTTGAAAATATAGCAATAAACACAGTTCAAATGTCACAGTATACGGATCTGTTTTCATTTTATATATAAAATAATTTGACTGATTTGGACCTGTACATTTTAGGAGAACAGTAACAAAACACCCCAACCAGCAGCTGAAAAGGAGAAATGAAGATTAGGACATAAGCTAATGAAATTGAGATGAAAATGCCACTAAGAACCCATGAAACAGGATTGTTTCTTTGAAGTAATGAGCACTATTGACAAGCCAGTAGGCAAATATTGCAGAAATAGGAAGAAACCCAAATTCTTAAAAACCAGAGGTGATAAAATGTAACATTGCAATAGATACCAATAAAATACAGGACGATCAGCAAATACTTTGGAAATCTATATTGCTGAAAATCTAGAAGACACGCAAAATCATTAGACCTACATGACCTACTAACATTAAGCCATTAAGCCACGACCATGAACAAACTGACAGTGAGTCGAGAGGCTGACAGAGTTCACGAAAAGTCTCTCAGCAGGTGGTCACTCAGGCCAGACATGTGTGGGCATCACTAAGCTGAGCTGAGGTGAAGTGCCCAGAGGTCAGTTGTGACTGCTGGGAAACCAGGGGATCCCAGGATGAACCCAGGAGTCTGGAGGTTGGGCTCCTGGTTCAGATCTTAGGCCTCATGTTAAAGCTGTGAAGTAAGCAAGGTGGAATGAGGGCTTAAAGATGTCTGCAGCTGTGTTTCAGTGAACGGGTGTGTGTGTGTGTGAATTTTAGTAACAGTGCCGGCAAGCACTGTAAAAATTGCATTTAAATACTGGGAAAATACTCAAAACAAAACAGGGTGTCTCAGCAATGGGAAGGACAGGGGTGGGCTGAATCTATTCATAATCTACCAAACAGTCAAATAAGACTATCACACTGGCCTCATGCTGTGCATAAACACAAAGTGGAGAGAAAACTACTGATGGCGTATGCTTGGTATACGCCATCAAAACCAGAGAGAAAATAAAAACAAGCACATGAACAAACAATCAAAATTATCAATTTTCCTCATGACCCAAGACACAAAATTTCTCAATAAAATCCTTGCAAAACAAAATCAATGACATATTAAAATCCCATACACAATTATTGAGTTAATTTCATTTCAGCTATGCTGGATGGTTCAACATACACAAATCAACAAATGCAATTAATACAGTTCAAGGTACCCACAGGCAGAAATCACATGATCATCTTGATCAATACAGCCCCTTGTCAAAGTTCAACCTCCCTCATGATAAAAGCCCTGAAAGAACATACCTCAACATAATAAAGACTGCATTTGAACAACCTACAGCCAACATTATACAAAATGGGGAAATCTGTGTGTATTTCTCTACAGCCAACAACCACTTTGTTTGATTTTGCTTGAATTTTAGATAGAATAATGTAACAAGCCAAAGACATACAGGACTAAAGACAGGAGAAGAGTTTAAATCATTTCAATTTGCAGACCAATGATTGTCCACTTAAAAGATATTTTTATTCCACCAGAAATCTTTATATATGAGAGCACTTTCAGAAAGTGTCAGGATACAAAATCAATATATAAAAATCAGTAGCTTTCTGATATACCAATAACTAAATATTGAAAAAGAAATCAGAAAAAAAAAAACTCATTCTCAACTGCTTCAAAAGATACACATCTTTTGTTGGGTTTGATTTGATGCTGGTGTTTTGATGCTAAAGCTAGCCCTCAAAATCTGGTTACTGCCTGGCTATACCTATCCTTGTTGTGAAAACCTGCCTAAGACATTATACCTGATTGGTTGGGCAGAATGGTGTGGGCATGGCTAAGGTTTCCAGGCTTTTGAGGACAGGGAGAATCATGGGAAAGAGACAGATGGGAAGAGAGGAGGCAGGAGGATGCCACGATGGGTTAGTGTGGAGAAGGAACCATGTGAGCCAGAAGGAAGGACTCCAAGAGTGGTGTGGATGGAGAAAACACCAAGATGAAAAATATAAGCAAGTATCTTGGGTTATGGATGGAAGATAGTCCAGATGAGGTGGTTAAGGCACTGGATGGGGCCGGAAGGTGGATGGTGAGGTCATTGAGACAGCATAGGTAGAAATATCTGCCCAGCCCATGGTAAACAGACAATTATAAAATTTAACAGGTGTTTGTGCCTTATTGTTTGTGATAGCGGGTTAAATAACACCACCACGATGATTATAGGGCTAAAAATAACAACAAATAATATATAGCCCAACATCCCTTTTTATTTACTGCGACAATCTTCTCAATGGGTTGAATGACACAAGAAGCAAGTCAGATGCAATAGAAAATGGAAATGATACAGGCCACAGGTTGATTTCTCAACGTTTTATGGACAAATAAGTGGTGTCTTCAGCAGAAAGGTCTTCCCGTCAAGTTCTGGAGGTAAAAAAGCAATGGCGGTAGCCAGCAATTTCAGAGGAGGGAGTCCGCTTGGCACTGGGCTTTTTTTTTGCTAGCCTACGGTGTCTGTGAGGGACACTGTCCCTATTACAGGGTACTCCATCTAAGCTTTTACAGAGGTGCAGACACTGTAGGAAGCTTCGACAGTGTAGTTTCCACACGGCATTTTCAAAGGTCGGGAATGGGAGCTATCCCTCCCCACTCTCCCTTCCCCGTTTCACCCTGCTCCGTTATGTCTAAGTTGTGGAATGTTTCTCATTGGGAAGGGATATTAATCCTATAACAGTATTTTATAGCCCTCCTTATGTTTGGGTTGGCCGTAGTAATATTGTGAAAAGGGCTGTATTACAAAAATAAGAATAATATATATACATTTGATCCACTCAATACAAATTTTAAGATGCTCTTCACAAAAAAAAAAAAAAAGTTTAAAAAGATGGGGAATCAGGAAAGACTCTGGAATAGTCGAAGCCTGAGAGACCTCACAATACTTCATTTCAAAGCACACCATAGAGCCACAGGAACAGAAAAAGAAAAAAAAAAAAAAAAAAAACAAAACCAAACAAACCAAAAAACATCACGCTGACACAACAATAAAGAGAGACAGACCCATGGAATAGAACGGAGGAGCCAGAAATAACCCCTAAGCTCCTGAGTGTTGACAGAGGCACCCAAAGTACACGCTGGGAAAGGAGGTTTTTCTCAGTGAATAGTGCTGGGACAGTTGGGCTTCAACATATGGAGAAAGGAAACTAGATACCCATGTCTCAGCCTGTAGAGCAATGTAGCTAACCTGAGCCAGACACCTCACTGGAAGGCCTGAATCTCCTTGAGGAGATTATCATGTTGCCGGTAAGACATGGCACCGGTAAATAGCTCTGGCGTCATTTTCCAGCCTAACAATTTATTTCATGTGTACGGAGTGTCTTGCCTGCGTGTTTGCCTATGCACCACCTGCATGCCTGCCTGGTGACTGCAAATGCTAGGGTGTTGGGTCCCCTGTACTGAAGCTACAGACAGCTGTGACCCGCTGGAGGGTGCTGGAAATTGGCTCCGGGTCCAGTGCTCTTAGGTGCTGAGCCATCCTCCAGCTTGAAACTCATTTCTTACATTCTACAGTATTTTGCAAACATAACACAATAAATACATCCTTATTGATAAGTACACGATCCCTGAATTTATAACTCACAGCCTTAGAATCTATACACACTTATGGACAGGTAAAGCGTTTATATAGACATTTGAATATATATGCCTTTTGTGCTCACATTACATATTGATTATCTATTTGTGTTGTATATAATATGTAAAAAAATGTCCCTAACATGTTTTCCTGTCCCAGAGGGATCCTGCTCTAGAAATGAAGATTTTAGTTTCAAAGGCTGACACTAAAGAAAATATTGATATAGTCTCCTCACTGAACCTCAATTACCTCACTCGGCTGTGTCAAAGCGCAAGGCTCCACAGTGAGCAACACTCAACACGAGTCAGCCCTTGTTAGTTTTTAAAAACATGTTTATCAATTTAATTGGATAAATAGTATCAAATTATTTATGTCCTTCTGATAACCACGCAGAAACCTGGATAGTCTTAGCAGAAGTGTAAAATTTGTTAATCATGCATGTTAGCCCAAATTAGGATTAGTTTTTAGAACAGAACGCTGAACGACTTTGGACCGTTCCTACAACCTTACCTAGCAAGCTCATCTTTCTCTTCAGTAGGAAGTGGCTTCCCAGTCCTTCCGCCTTTCCTTTTGAAAATCAAACTGTTGTCAAGACATAGGTTCTCCGAGACTTCCGACTCCAGACTCGGCCACGTCCTCCTGATTTCTTCAACCTTTGATGAAAGTTTGAGGAAAGGATAAACACGACTGTTCAAGAAAACCAACTTCTATTGTTTTCATCACTGGACTCCTATTTTCACTATATGATTTTAGTGTGTAAAAAGGTTTTTGTAGTGCTCAAGATGGCACGGGGGTTAAGAACAGTTACTGTTCTTGGAGAGGTTCTAGGTTCAGTTCCCAGTGAACTCACAGAGTTTATAACTCTAGTCCCAGGGGATCCAACACCCTCTTCTGTCCTTTGTGGGGATCACACACACACACACACACACACACACACGGTAACATAGTACATGCAGGTGACATATTCATAAAGTAAAAAATAGATACATCTTTTAAAAGGTTTTTGCTTTTCTTAATTTTAGCATGAGAGACTATTGATTTTTTTTCTGGTAAATTCTACTTTAGTTTATTTGTTTGATTAAAAAAACCCCAGAGTTTTATAAAACTTCAAAAATGGGCATTCTTAGTTCTGTGTCTTTTTGCATTCAGTCTTTGCTGTCTAGCATTTTTGCTGTCTGTTTGATGGAAAAACTATAAAGAACAGGAGAAAACACATCACCTTCAGGATTTACTGCCGGGAATGTACATGCCACAGTCAGATTCCTAGAACGTGCCATCATGGGTGTAGGGGCAAAAATGAAGTGCCTCCTCCCTGCATGCTGCTCTTGACAACTATTTTAATCACTCAGATACTGAGGTATCAAAAAAAAGGTCAAGAAGCTCACTGAAATGGAGGTGCCCAGTTATGCAGCTGAGCCTAAGGGAGGTTGCTGAATGTGTTTCAAACTCTGGGAACGAGGTGCCTCCCACACAGAACAGGCGTCAACTACATTTCACAGGTGGGAGAAGGTACCTAATTCATTCCTACTTTAGCTCCAACCATTGATTGAAGTCCTTAGGAGCCATTACATAGCATCTCAAAATGCCACAAGACAATGCAATCCCATAATTATCTGTCAGATAAATGACTCAACAACTCCGTTCAGTTAGGCAGCTGAATGAAAGAGATTGTGAATGTGTGCGAGTGGAGAGAGGCCCGAGTGAATGAAATCCTGACTGAATGTGTGTTGCTGACACTGTGGTGGATGGTAAACACTGGCACAGCCACATCCAGTACTCCGATGCCTCAGCCCTTCAGGACTGGCAAAGCTTCCTGGGATAGGCTCAGAAGGATGGCAATGCCTTCCTAGGGAATCTGAGCGTGGCTGTTGACAGTGTGAACATAAAATGTCCAGCATAGCTGCCTTTCCCTCTCCTGGCCTGGAGACCGCTCCCCTGCAGGGCCTGCTTCTACTGAGGTAGCTAAAGCTGCGTCCTTGAGCCAGCTGTGAGCCATAGACCCCGCCTTCCTGTTTATCCGAGCGCAGCAGCCCAGCTGTAGGCAATGGTTCCGCCCCTGTTCAGCTGTACAAAGTGAGCACACTAAGCATCCAAGGCCTCGTCTTTCTCCATCCAAGAGCCCCATCTGCCGCTCCCAGGTTGGCTCTGTGCCGGTCTTTCCTCCACCCCCTCACTGGGGCAGTCTGGTCAGTCCTGGAAGCTGCACAAGGCCGCAGCAAATTTGCAAAATGTTTTCTTAGGAGGTGGATGTCTCCTCTACATTTATTATTGTTATTCTCAATATTGCTCTAGATTTTTGTGAGTCTTTACAATTCAACTTCTCTCAGAACTCAGATTTTTAATATGGAAAACTGCATTTTGGGGCTGATGATATATGTTCTTGTACGATGTAAAGTCATATGCTCCGAAACCAGCTTTACCAAAGAACATCTGTATGCGGGGCTTTAAACAAAGACTGAACTCCAGGAAGTACACAGACCTGGTGTCAAATTTTTACCAAGAGGGAATTACAGCTTCCAGTGGTCTGAACAGAAAGCACCAAGCTTGCACACATTCAAGCACAATGACTCTGTTGGTTGCGATGTAAGGTCCTGTCAAACTTAGAGACACTTTCATTTCTTCTCACTTACTGCTTCATTCCCATTGAGTAATTTTTTTTTTCATTAGGCCAGTGCAAGTACATCTACCAAAAGCTGACAATCCCATACTCCTCTGTGTTTATCTTAAGTCAAAAGATCACAGGGTGTGGGATAAACTGATTTTCCAGGTCATATGTTATCGGAAAGGAAGACTGGAGTTGATCAGTGGAAACTCATTCTGCAAACACTTTTCTGAACTTGGTATGTGGGCAGTGGGAAAGCACCTTTGCCTAGACATGGTCTCACACTCGGAGAGGCCTGTGTACAGGGCAGCTCTCTGGTTTGTTTGAGACAGGGTCTCTCCGTATAGCCCTGGCTGTCCGGACACTGCTTCACTCACACCAGGCAGAGTATTTGTTGAGTTACAGGTAATTACCTTCAGCTGAGTTCTTGCCCTATAGTTACCCGGAAGTGGCTCTTCCGAGGGACAGATGTTTTTAAACACATCCCTGGCTGTGCGCTGTAACTCAAGGCTGCGTTCGCTTGGCTCTCCATTATTTCCTAGTCTGTCTTTCTCAGGTGTGTTCATGGAAGGAACGTTGGCGTGTCCAGGTGCAGGTTCTCCGTCCCATTTCTCGTTTACTTCCGGGTCTTCAGACATTTCTTCCAGATGCCCAGGAGGGGCCCCGATTTGCTTGCTTTCCTTCTCAGACAGTGGCTGGACTGTTGTGGCTGGCTTTTCGGGTGTGTTTTGGGTTTGGGGACAGAACTCCAAGAGGACTGTATCCTTCAGGTGCCGCAGGACAGAGATGAGAGAAAAAGAAATAAATATATATTTTACATTTAAATTTCTTAGTACATGTTTAGATGTCAGAAATCACTGGGCAGTAAATTTTGAAAAAGAAAAATAATTTACTTAACCAACACAGAAGAAAACCATGAACCAGAAAAGTTAAGTTAGTTACCGTTGTTTGGACAGAACAATTATGTGTTAAATTAATTATTACTTAAACCCACTCCGTGTTAACTTAGCAAAGGTGAATTACTTATTTTTAATATTACAAGCTTGTCCTTATAGAAAATATTTAACCTCACTAGGCCTCAAAAAGTAAGCCACGCCAGTGAGCTTCAGTCCATTATCTGACAATAACTGGGCAGTTTGAAATTATGAAGAGCCAAACCCAAAGCTTTTCCTTGCTAGCAGCCAAAGCACCCCCACCAACCACACAAAAACCGATTGCTGCGTTTTAACTCAAACTACACAGCAGCCGGCTGTGACCTTCACATGGGCTGTGGGCGGTGAGGTTTACTGTACTCTGACTCCTCGAGAGACGGTAGGTGGCAGCAGCGGCCACGCTCTAAGCGGCTATGCCACAGCCAGAGGCCAGAGCCACCCTCCATCAGAGCAGCCTCCCCTCGAAACGAAGAATGGCGAGGGCAAAGGCTCATGGTTTCCCAAGATGCGGAGAGTGAGTGCCTGTAGCGTGCTCAGCCTCAAACAAGGCATGCACAGCACCCCCATTAAGGCTCAGGGAACCCCGTGGAAAAGGGACGGGAAGAACGTAAGACAGGACGACAGGGGAAAGGGCTGTGTTTCTGGATGCAACACAGCCATCACTGACCTGCAACGCTGTGGCCACCTGCCCTGGGCTCACACAAGCTTGTCACTAAACAGCCGCGGAAACGGGGAGGGGCTCAGGGGCCCTGCCTTTTACTGCTAACTATTGGCTAGTAACAGATCCTAGGAGGAGGGAAATCTCTGCCTCCAGTTGTGTTCCCACAGCTGAGCCCATTGGGATCCAACAGATAACTCTGAAAATACAGTCACGCAGACCCCACCGGAAAACTCAGTGGGTCACAAACCGAAACGAATAGACACAATGTGAGAGGGACTGTGGGGAAGGAGGTGGAGGGGTGGTGAGGAGACAGGAGAGAGCTGGGTGAGAGGGGTCCGTGTGCACTGTGAACATGCGTGAAGTTGTGTAAAAACAGATTTAATTAACAAAAAAGCTTCCTAGCGTGTCTATAAGTCACTTTACATAGTTTATACACTTAATTCCAGAGAAGGTGTTTCCCAGGAGGGATGAGCTTGTTTTTAAGCCCATTCTCTCCTTCAACACGGACACTGAAGACAATTAGACTTTGAATCTCCCACTAGCCATTGCAGATATGCCATGGCAATTTTAAGCCACGGGAAAGGATTCTCCGGTAGTGGCCACCACTGTTAGGCGAGTGCAAGCTCAGCCACACAGGTCTATGGCTCAGAGCTTAGAGTATAGCTTCTAAGAACACGCTTTTATATAGTTAAAATGCTTAAAATTGAATGCCAAATATGATACAAAATTGTTTCCGAAAGCTGATGATGAAAACGCTATTTGGAGGATGGCACATTATTAGCACAAAGAAACTGTGAACGAGAAATTTACATTAGAGTTGTGCATACCGGCAGCTGGCTATCTTCACTGCTGTCAGGGCTCTCTTGTTCTGGCTGTGACGTCACCTCAGAATTCACTTCTGCTGTAACACACATACATTTCTCTTATAAGCTATTTGCCCAGAGTTATTGAAGAGCAGCAGTTGAAAGAATAAAACTCTAAAACAATAATGATTATTTTCAACTTAGAAATTAAGAATTTAAATCAAGGTTAATATTCAGGTGGCTCCATCATTAGAAAATATTGTAAGTAAGCTGCTCCATACACACACATACACACACAGAGACATATACACATGAAGAGACATCTACACAAACCCACAATTGCACACACCCATACATATCCACATATACACACCCATACATACACACACGTACACACAGAGACACATGTACGCACACACACACCTACACACAGATTCACATAGAGAGACACACACGGCTTTTGCAATACTGGGCTTGACAAAGCCATCTAAATGGAGAAAACTGTGACCACCCCAAACCTGACCGAGGTCATTCGGGCAGTGGGGAAAGCAGCTCCTAGACGCCCTAATGTTGGAGCGAGTCTACACACCCAAAGGCTTGGCTCAGTCAGTGAGATCCCCAGAGGCAAAACATTAAAACAGGAAGGAGGAAGACCCATCCGGCCACACCTTTTTTTTTTCCTCATAACAGTACATCTAAGACAATCTATTTTATTAATCACTGAGTCCAAAATTAAGAGGATGTTTTGTGAATTTATGGATATCCTCCTCCTTATATTGGAAGCACCTTTCTCCTTTTGTGACATGTTCTCCCCTTTTTTCCCTGCAACTCAAGTCCTCATGGATGAGTACACACATAAGACAGACAGATCTCCCTTCCTATGGAAGTCAACATGTCTTCTCTACCTCCAACAAGGTCCAACAAGGAAAGTCAAGGTAATTTAGTGACATTCAGTTCCTGAGGCGATGGTTCTGCTGGGAAAATGCCTGACGAGCATAATGGACCCGAGTTCAAATCCTGACACCCACTTAAAAGCTGAGTGTGGCTGTGGAAATTTGTAACCATAGCACAGCAGGTGGAGGATGACGCAGAGCCCCGGAGGAGCCTGCCATCCAGCCAGCGTAGGTAAGCGATGACCTCTGGGCTCAATGAGGGATGGCATCATTGGGGGCAGCGAGGTGGCCCAGTGGTCAACGCACCTCTTGCCAGGTGGTCCCTGAGATTCACCAACTTTCACAAGTCCTCTGACCTCCACATATGTGTTATGGCTCACTCCTGTGTGACCCTGCACGTACACCTACATGTGCACGCAAGATTCATCGGTTAGTAAAGAGAAAAAGAAGAGGAGGTGGGAAATAACAGTGGAAACTGTCAACCTCCGGCCTCCGCACACGTGTGCGCATATAATACACTCAAGTGCACACCCCACGCGTGTGTATTCATTCCATACATACGTACGTGCATTTATTTCAATTCCTATTCCAGGAATTCTCTTTCTTTTTTAATTTTTGAGACAAGGTTTCTCTGTGTGGTCTTGGCTGTCCTGGACTCACTTTGTAGACCAGGCTGGCCTCGAACTCACAGTAATCCACCTGCCCCTGGCTCCAGTGCTGGGATCAAAGGTGTGTGCCACTGTGCCTGGATTACTCTGAATTCATACAAACTGTAGGCGCTGACCTCTCAAGGATGAAGTCAGCTATGCAGATGGCTGTCCTGGACCTGGTGCTTGCTGGGGTTTCAGGGTGATGTGTGAACAGCACAGAGATCGGCAGAGGGTGAGGCGGCACTGAGCGGCAAGACACACGCCTGTCTAAAGACCAGGGTCTGGTGGATGGTGCAGCTGGCCAGCAGTCCCAGACGACAGGGCAGGGCCGGAAAGGCTGGGCGCAGTCGGGGAAGTCTGAGTTTGAGAGCCTTACCACTGGTGTAGGGGCTCATGTTTTAGAGTGCCGGGTGGCCATTTTCACAGGGATGGGTCATAGCCAATCTGTTGGGAGGTGAAGGTGAGGGGCTGTGGCTACAGGAAAGGGGGTGGGGTTTAAATGACAGTAGCACTGCTAAGGGATGCAGGCCTGCGCTGCAGGCAAACTCCCAGAAAGTTAAAGTATCAGAAGTGTACGGTAGAAAACCAATTTTATGAAACAAATATAAAAATCTATGCACTCAGAAAACGGGGCAGAGTTCAATTCGGCACAACCCACCCCCCAAAACCCAGCACTTTTACATGCAAAGCATTTGAGATGTACACCTCGCCTTCTCTGCTTTAGAGAAAGTTAACCGCCATACGCAGTGAGTCCTGAGTGCACGCGGAAAGAGCGCTTTACATGGCATCATGGGATCAGCGTCCTCAAGCTTCATCTGAAGCACCCTGAAGGCGCTGAATGAACTGGTATGTGGATATATGCGGTACATGCAGTTAGACTGGGTCTCTGAGGAGAACCCACACAGACTGACAGAACCGTCCAGATGCTGGTCAGCGTGCGCTCGGCCAGTCCGGCCAGCTGACCCCTGAGGCTGTGTTGTCTTCTCCTACAATACTCTAACAAGGTGGGTGCTCACGTTTCCACTTGGGACTCTGACCTTAGGTTGCCCCTTCTCAAACAATTTATATTAGATTGCCAAAGGAGCTATCAACTATGTGGTACGGTTTTTAAAGGTCTCTGTCTGTTCTGATGTCCTTATGATGAATCCTGCTTTTTCCTCTTCAAAGCCTTTTTAGAGAATGCAAAGTAACATTTTCCACAACATTAAAGTGTATGCCCACGTGGCCACCACCCACATTCACATTCACTCACCATTAAAAATGTAACCTAACTGTGTGTGACCCAGCACCTGTGGTTTCTCGGGAGTATCTCGGTGGTGAGGAAGACAGGCGTGAGAAGACTTGGTTCTATTTGAAATTGGAAGCTGGCTCCCTGTCACCCCCCCCCACGACTCCAACACCCCTTTTTTGTGAAGAAGGGCTCCAACCCCTGCCCTTTGCTGGTCTAAGGACCCTGCATACCTTCCTCCCCTTTGACCTCTGCTTTCTTCCCCGCCTTCTCCCTCTTATTTCCAAGTCCTAACTTCCCTCAGGTCTCAGAATATCTTGACATGGAACTACTAGTGAGCGCTCAAAGGCTCCCCCCACTCATCCTAAAATGGCAGATGCCTGCTTCCCACTTTTCTTTTCCTTCCTATGCATTTCTTTGGTTCATTTCTTTGGCTGTAGGCACAATGCTACCACTCAGCCGAAGATCAGTATTCCCAGTGGCTTCCAGGAATGGATGCTCTTACCTCCCGCCTGGCCCATTTCTGGATACTGCTGTTGTTGGTCTCTGGCGTCAGATAAAATCCCCTCACCCTTGTTCAGCAGACTCTCAGAGACACTCTGCAAAAAATAACATCCATAACAGTCTGTAAACATTTCTTAGGCCTTTCATAAGAGAGTACCTGAAGTTTTCCTATTTGTTAGTTCTTTGTTTTTACATTCTTATTAATAAAACATCACACACCAAAATTAACCAGACCTAAAGACTATGTAAGTTAATAACTTCTTAATGAAGTTCCTATTTTGAAAGCCTTTTTTTTTTTTTTTTTAATTAAGTGTATGCTGAGTGCTTGAACATCTCTACGGAGCATCTTTTGTACAGTTTCTAGACCAAGCCAATATTTTTTTTTCATGTGGTAGCCGGTCCTTGCGCACAGGTCATGGGGTCCACGGCGTCAGTGTGCAATGCACATCTCAACAAGACATCCACACGGAGGATGTCTGCCTCTGGTTTGTGTTTGCACTGACATTAAATGTCCAGGCAGAACATTTTAAATAAAATTGTATAGGTATATTGCCTGTGAAAGAGATGGGGGCAGAAAAAAATGCCATGATCTTTCTAGGTAGTTCAGGCTGACTTCCAACACAAGGCGTGGTGGCTGGCGGCCTCATCACACGGCACAGCACGCCTCAGCAAATACCGGGTTACCAGTCTGTGCAGTCAGAACCACAGAACACTGAAATGCTTCTCCTAGCCCTGCTTTGCCAGTAAACCTCCATATTTGCTCTGAAGAGAAGTTCTAGGTCACGTCTTAGTGAACGCAGGCACAGCACGGTAGAACCTTCATTTCGGTAAACGAGAGTTTAGACAGTCTAGATATCGAGTGGAAAATTACTGATGGGAAGCGGTTGGCTAAAATGTGAATGTAGCAAGAATGTAATGAATGTAACGTTAAAAAAAAAAAAAAAGAAACAGTGCGAGGGCTGGAGGGCTGGCTCAGTGGTCAGAAGCACTGACTGTCCTCCCAGAGGTCCTAGGTTTGATTCCCAGCACCCAGATGGCAGCTCACAAACTTCCCTAACTCGTTACAGACATGCATGCAGGAAAATAAAATAAAAATAAAAATCTAAAAAAAAAGGACAACTGTGTATTATTAGACCTGCCATGGAATTCTTCATTTCACAGACACAGTATCTCAGGTCTTCAGAAGGACTGTGAAGAACGATTACTGCAAGGAAGAACAACGTCTACAAAACGCCAGGCGCTTCATTCACACCTTCATTCCCGGTGTCTCAAGTGACACAGGTGGTTTAAGAAGCCGATGCCGTGACGTCAGGTTCCGTCGCGTACAGCACAGAGCGGTCTACAGGGCTACACAGTATCATGCATGCATAACCCGATTCTATCAGTGAACAGTTTCCACCAGCGGGAAAACCCGTCCGCGGAAGAGCGACTACCTCGTTTTCGAGGTGGACTTTCTCCCAGGCCAGGATCTCCTCCTCCAGAATGCGGAACTCGTGGTCGGACAGCTCGTCCCGCAGGGCCCCGTCCTGGAAGGCGCTGGCGGTCCGGCCAGCAGGGGGCGCAGCGCGCGCGGGCGCCACGGCGCCGCGGCTGCCGCAGTGGCGGGCCAGCGGCCTCAGCGACAAGTCCCTGGCGCCTTTGCTCTTCTTGTGACTGTCGCCCGCGAGAAGCACGGAGTCGGCCCAGCCTCTCGCGTCGCCCCCGTGGTTTCTCTCCCGCGCGTCCGCGGGCGCCCTGGCTCTCCCCGGCTTCCGCGGGGGCGCCGGCTCCCACGGCCCGTCCGCGCGGCTTGCTTTCGCAGCCCGCTGCACCGGGCTCTTCAGCTCCGGGCCTTCCTGCTGTTCGCCCACGCCTCCTTCTGGGCATCTGCCTCTCACCCTCCTACTCTCCGCGTTTTTAGAAGATTTCCTCTTGCTTTTATGAAGCGGTTCTTCCCATTCGGAAGTGGTGTTTTCTCCGTCGAATTTATTCTTCATTAAGGGAAACTTGGTAATGGACTGGCCGCCGTATTCCACGATCTGAGAGGGCGGGGGGGATGGCACGGCATTTCCCAGGCCACCGTCCTTCTGTCTGGGAAAGGTCCACAGTGCTCCGGAGGCCAGGGCTGCACTTACGTCTCCGTCCCCACAGTCAAGCATCTCACAGGCCACTTTAGGGGAGACCGGCTTCAGGCGAGTTCTTCCTGTCGCGTCGTCACGCGGGGGCTCTTCCTCGTGGTGCACATTCGTTTTGACACCTTCACAGGTCTCCCCAGCCTCCTGGGTTGGCTTCTTTAGGACAAGCTGTACAGTTTCTTTAAACTCCAGTTCTTCCCCTTCCAGCGGCACCGTCGCGAGCACCTGCCCCTTGGCGGACCTGGAGTGTCCGGACGCGTCTTCTTCGTCAGAAGTGGGGCTCTTCTCTGGCTCCGGGGATCCTTCCTGGAGCGGTAAAGGTGGAGGGCTGCTCTGCTTGGCCGGAGGCTCGGGTGACCTCGATGCCGGGGGATGTTTCTCGAATGAATCCTTGTCCTTAGAAACCATAGAGCATGAACAACAAGAAAAGATACTTAATGTGTGTCATTTGGCTTTTCAGAATACATGTTTAGTTACACAAAAATCAGGCAAGCAAAATTAAGAGATGAAACGAGCTTAGGGCTGGTGGGATGGCTCAGGAAGTAAAGGCACTTGCCACCAAAGGCGAACTTTCTGAGTTCAAGTCCCGGAAGCCACACGGGAGAGACAACCAGCTCCCCCAAGGTCTTCTCTCATCTCCACGGGGGTGCTGGGATTTGCACAGGCTCCCGCACTTGCAATAAATACGTGTGAAAACAAAAACAAAAACAAAAACAAAACCCTCGTTTACCCCGGTCCTCCCAGGAGGGACAGGACCCAGAACACTCCACACAGTCGCCATAGTTCAGATGGATCCTCACTTGGTATGTGTTGGGTAATTTAAAATACTACAAGAATATACTTGCATAAAAAGGGTTTTATTTCACCATTCTTTAAACACTGAGCCCCGGCCCGATGCTCACTGACATTCAGTCTCTGAAAATTCGTAACTGAATAGCAGGTGAGCGAAGATATTTACTTACATAACAGCGACATCATGGGTGCAAAAACAAATTAAGGTCAGAAGACGACAATCCTAACCTTATGTCTTAACAGCCTATGAGTAAGGCCTTCTAAGTTTTCCTAGTTGAGGTAAAGAAGTCTGGCAAGCCTTAGTAAGAACAGAAGCACAAGAACCCCGACGTATCAAATATCTAAAGCACGCCAGGTCCTTCTCTGATAGGAGAAGAAACTGACTTTGGAGGTGGTTGTCCCACTGGCTGCTTTCCTGTTATTTCAAAGGATATTAAGAGGCAAGCTATGGAGGGCTGGAGAGATGGCTCAGTGCTTAAGAGCACTGGCTGCTCTTTCAGAGGACCCAGGTTCAATTCCCAGCGTCAACACTGTGATTCACAACCATATAAAATCCCAGTTCCAGGGACTTCAGTGCTCTTTTCTGGCCTCCAAGGGCACTTCATGCATGTGGTACACAGACGTACAAACAGGCAAGGCTCTTCGTGGCTTCTATGGCTACATTTCTGTATCCTACCCTAACAGTTTTATTAGAGTCTTACAGAGTAGACTTGTACTGGTCATCAGTAGGAAACACCGAGAACCGACGACCAGTACTGAGGGCCCAAGTACTCAACTACCTTATCAATTCGACATGAGAAATGTGAGTAGATAACCCTGGGTGAGCATATGCAGACGCCTTCCTGTGTCCCTCAGGCTGACTGCCTCAGCCCGGTATGGTGGGAAAAGGCAGGCACCAGCACACCTGGCCCCCTTCCATGCTGTAACATCACCCGAGGGTTATTTAAAAAATAATATTACCATCGTGAAAGAATATACTTCAAGAACCCCAAGACAAGTCCTCACCTGTCTGACAAATCCTAAAGTACATGTGCCAATCTCTCAGATGCGGACACAGGTACATGAATTAGGGCACTTTCTACTGTGATTTGAAAAATATACACAAGTCTAGCTCCAGTTATCTCAGTGAAATGAAGGTAAATAGCAAAAGGAAATCAGAGATTTGAAACCATTTCAGAAAGGTCGCTTTACAAATGAATATAGCAAAGGAAACGTGCAAAGAGATGGGTCTTTTTTTTTTTTTTTTTTTTCCCCACTAGTTTGTCACTTCTTTGGGCATTTGGCCTTTCCTTCAATCAAGTCTCTGTCATAAAACTGCCTCATGTCCATTAACATGCACTTACTCGATTTCCCTTTCCTATGAGAAAAGGGAACTTTAGAAAACCCTCTTCTTCATTCTTACCACTCACTGAACTCAGTCTGGAGGACAAGAAACACATGTCATGTCTATCAGATTATAGGCACAATCCCGGGAAAAGCTGAAAAAGGATTTTGGTGTTTATTCAGGCAGAATCAGAGACAGATTCAAATAAGACTCAAAAAGAACCACTCATGAGTTCTGTATTTAAGGTGACTATGGCTAAGGACATCAGGGGTTGCTGCTGCTTCCTATCTGCTTCGCATTTTAAAAGTCAAGAAAGCTCAATAACCCAAGAGAGAACAGAGAACCGAGTGCAGAGGACACAGGAGTCCTGGATTTTCAGGACAAAAGAATTCACATGTAAAGATTTAACAACTCTGAGTGTCATGGTAGGGCGCAGCCGAATGGCACAGTGCATGTACTGGGTTTTGGTTGGGTCCTTTACATACAAATGATGTTGGCAGTAGAGTCAGTGGAGTTTTCTGAGAACAATATGGATCGTCACCACTTCTGGGAGGTATTGTTAAAAAAAAATCATTTTCCAGAGGTACTTCTATATATAGTACTTATGAATCCATCGTTCTGTATAATTCTGTGGAAACAGCTAACTCATTTTAGAAAAACACCAACACTGTGATTTTGCTAATTGGATGTGTATTCATCAAGAAATAAAATTAGCAAAAGGTAAATTAAGATAATTCCAGAAAAATGTGCACTTTAAAAAGAATGTGTTCACTTAAAATTTATTTTCTCACTTAATGTATAGAAAGGAAGAATTGTCAATGGGCATATTGTGAGTCAGTGGTGAGGGGATTGTTTGGCAGACCTGAGGGCCTGCCTGGGTTTGAGTCTCCCAACACAGAAAGGAAACAAGGAGAGTGAGGAGAGGAGCAGGTAACAAGACAAAAGCAGATATACAGACCCTTTCTATAACCACAAATGTTAATGAAAAATTCAAATGAAAGAATTTTGTATTTTTATGAATTATAGTTTTAGGCATCTTATCATTTGTTTTTAATTTTAAAATGTATACAATATATTTTGATCATGTTTCCCCTCCTCCAGATCTTCCCAGATCTTCCCTAGTCATCCATCTTTATATTCTTTCTCTTTTTTATTTTTATTAATTACAGTTTATTCACATTGTATCCCATGTGTTGCTCCCTCCCCCCTCCCCTCCACACCTCACCCTCCCTCCCTTTTCTCTACCCATGCCTCTTCCTTCAGTCCACTGATAGGGGAGGTCCTCCTCCCCTTCCTTCTGATCCTAGTCTATCAGGTCTCATCAGGAGTGGCTGCATTGTCATCTTCTGTGGCCTGGTAAGGCTGCTCCCCCCTCAGAGGGAGGTGATTAAAGAGCAGACCAATCAGCTAATGTCAGAGACAGCTCCTGTTCCCATTACTAGGGAACCCACTTGGGCACTGTACTACCATGGACTACATCTGTGCATGCATGGTCCTTGGTTGGAGTATCAGTCTCAGGAAAGACCCCTGTGCCCAGATTTTTTGGTTCTGTTGCTCTCCTTCTGGAGCTCCTGTCCTCTCCAGGTGTTATATTTCCCACTTGTTTCATAAGATTCCCTGCACTCTGCCCAAAGTTTGGCTATAAGTCTCAGCATCTGCTTTGATACCCTACAGGGTAGCGTCTTTCAGAGGCCCTCTTTTCTTCTGTGGTAGGCTCCTGTCCTGTTCTCTGTTTTCTCCCTCTTCTGATGTCTATCCTCTTTGCATTTCTGAATGAGGATTGAGCATCTTATCCAGGGTCCTCCATCTTGCTTAGCTTCTTTAGGTGTACAGATTTTAGTATGTTTATCCTATATTACATGTCTGATATCCACTTATAAGTACTCACTTATAAGTGAGTACTTATAAGTATACCATGGTATACTCCATATACCATGTGTGTCCTTCTCCTTCTGGGATACTTCACTCAGGATGATCTTTTCCAGTTTCCACCATTTGCCTGCAAATTTCATGATTTCCTTGTTTTTATTTGCTGAGTAGTATTCCATTGTGTAATGTACCACAATTTCTGTATCCATTCCTCAACTGAGGGGCATCTGGGTTGTTTCCAACATCTGGCTATTACAAATAAAGCTGCTACAAACATGGTTGAGCAAATGTATTTGTTGTATGCTTGAGCATCCTTTGGCATCTTATGCCTAGGAGTTGGTATAGCTGGATCTTGAGGTAGCACTATTCCTAATTGTCTGAGAAAGCACCAGATTGATTTCCAGAGTGGTTGTACAAGTTTACATTCCCACCAGCAGTGGAGGAGGGTTCCCCTTTCTCCACAACCTCTCCAGCATGTGTTGTCATTTGAGTTTTTGATCTTAGTCATTCTGATGGGTGTAAGGTGAAATCTCAGGGTCATTTTGATTTGCATTTCCCTGATGACTAAGGACGTTGAGCATTTCTTTAAGTGTTTCTCTGCCATTCAATATTCCTCTATTGAGAATTCTCTGTTTAGCTCTGTGCCCCATTTTTTAGTTGCATTACTTGATTTGTTGCTTTTTAACTTCTTGAGTTCTTTGTATATTCTGGATATTAGCCCTCTGTCAGATATAGGGTTGGTGAAGATCCTTTCCCAGTCTGTAGGCAGTCGTTTTGTTTTGACAACAGTGTCCTTTGCTTTACAAAAGCTTTTCAGTTTCATGAGGTCTCATTTATTGATTGTTGATCTTTGAGTCTGTGCTGTTGGTGTTCTGTTCAGGAAGCTGTCTCCTGTGCCAATGAGTTCAAGGCTCTTTTCCACTTTTTCTTCTAACAGGTTTAGTGTGTCTGGTTTTATATTGAGGTCTTTGATCCACTTGGACTTTAGTTTTGTGCAGGGTGATAAGTATGGATCTATTTGCATTTTTTCTACATGTAGACATCCAGTTAGACCAGCACTATTTGTTGAAGATGCTATCTTTTTCCCATTGTATGGTTTTGGTATCTTTGTCAAAAATCAGGTATCCATAAGTGTGTGGGCTTATTTCAGGGTCTTCTATTCAATTCATTTGATCCACCATTCTGTTTCTATGCCAGTACCATGCAGTTTTTATTACTGTTGCTCATGCCACTACCATGCATTTTTATTACTGTTTATTAGTACAGCTTGAGATCAGAGATGGAGATACCTCCAGAAGAACTTTTATTGTAGAGGATTGTTTTAGCAATTCTGGGTTTCTTGTTATTCCACATGAAGTTGAGAATTTTTCTTCCAACATCTGTAAAGAATTGTGTTGGTAATTTGATGGGATTGCATTGAATCTGTACATTGCTTTTGGTAAGGTAGCCATTTTTACTATGTTAATCCTGCCAAGCCATGAGCATGGGAGATCTTTCCATCTTCTGATATCTTCTCCTAGTATTTCTTTCTTCAGAGACTGGAAATTTTTTTTTCATACAAATCTTTGACTTGCTTGGTTAGAGCCACACCAAAGTACTTTATGTCCTTTGTGGCTATTGTGAAGGGTGTTGTTTCCCTAATTTCTTTCTCATCCCTTTTGTCTTTTGTATACAGGAGGGCTACTGATTTTTTTTTTTTTTTAGTTAATTTTATGTCCAGCCACTTTGCTGAAGGTGTTTATCAGCTGTAGGAGTTCTCTAGTAGGCTTTTTGGGGTCAGTCATATAATATCTACAGTATACTATCATATCATCTGCAAATAGTGATACTTTAGCTCCTTCCTTTCCAATTTGTATCCCCTTGATCTCCTTTAATTGTCTTATTGCTCTAGCAAGGGCTTTAAGAACTATGTCAAAGAGATATGAAGGGAATGGGCAGTCTTGCCTTGTCCCTGATTTCAGTGGGATTGATTTAAGCTTCTCTCCATTTAGTTTGATGTTGGCTATAGGCTTGCCAGGCTAATTTTTGCTAGCATATTAATTTTCTTCTCTCCAGTGCTGAGTGTGTGGCTCAGTTGCTGGACTTCCTACCAAACGTATGGCACTTGGTTTGCTACCCAATGCATGAACACAGCCAACACTGTCACTACTATGCTGCAAATAATACTTAGTTTTCTCATGATACAATTAACTTTCTAGAAGTACTGTAGTAAGGGCTGGAGAGATGGCTCAGTGGTTAAGAGCACTGCCTGCTCTTCCAGAGGTTGGCTTTCCAGCACCCGCACCAGGCAGCCCACACAACGGACACACATCCAGTTCCAGAGGGCGCCACACCTCTCACCTCCATGGGTAAGAGCACATAGGTGCACATACACACGCTTGCACACACACATAAATAATAACATGAATATTTTAAAACTATGCATGCTAATCAAGCAAAAACATTGAAAGAATAAAAATTTACAAATCTCTGCTAGGTAGTTCGAACTGTGAGACAGAAAATTCCTTGATCACTATGATAAGTGACTATATTAAAACATTTTAATTTATTTTATGTGTATGAGTGGTTTGCTTGCATGCATGCCTGTAGAAGTCAGAAAAGGGCATCTGATCCCATGGAACTGGAGTTACAGATGGTTGTGAGCCACTATGTGGTGCTGGGAACCAAACCCAGCCCTCTGCAAAAGCAGAAAGTGCTCTTAAATACTGAGTCAGCTCTCCAGGTCTATGATTAGATTTTTTTGTAGTCATGAATATAATAAAAGTTGTATTGGTATCATTTTAAAAAAATGACACAAACATATATTTATCCCACAAATCCTCCCCCAACTTTTACTTTATTGTGGATAGAGTTTAAGATTCACATCACTTTGCATCTTTCCTTACCATTTCTTCAGTCATCCCCTGCTGTCCAAGAGAACCTACTATCCCTTTGTGAGGGTTCAAAGTACAAACCAATTGACCAACTTTCAGTATAAAAGGATAGTAAATAGATTACGATTGGTTTAAGAATAAATGCTAAAACAATCAGTACTCAGAACTATAAGTCTAACTTCTCAAAAAATTTACCTTTGTATCAAAATTATATTCATCCTTTCTTGTTGTGGGTTCAGGGTCACCAAGATCAGGTTTGGTGGAGAATCTTCAAAATAAAAATATAAAATAATAGATAAGTTCTGCTCCTTTAAAACCCTCTCACTTCATCTGGGATTGTGTCCAGCACACTGAACCTGTGTTTATGTAGAAAACTACTACCTCTATACCAAGGTTCAACAATTCATTTTACACTATAAATATTTTGTTCATTTTTCTCAGAGAGAATCCAGCAATGTTTTTGTACTGGTCATATGAAGAACGTATGTAATTTGAATGTTTATCAATGACACTCTCTGTAGCTGGTGTTTGCTACTTTGTGGGTTCTTCTTTTTTCCACCCTTTATTCCCCTTGTTTCACCACCTAACACTAGATAGGAGAGAAACAAGGAGAGAGGAGAGAAGGGAATTGGGAAAATCCATCAATATGTTATTTTCCTGTTTCTTCTTTGACCACAGCTACTAACAAACCAAAATCAACTCCCCTAAATGACCAACAACTACCCCAACCCCTCACCTATTGGGTTTCTAGCATTTAGATAACCTCTGAGAAATTCCCAGAATTCCAAATGTCACACAATCGCAGAAACTACCTGCAGCTGGCAAAGCCGTGCCTCTGCTAGAGCACAAGCAAAACCATAACCAGCTGCTGTGGACAGTAAGAAGCACTGCCACATCCCCACATCTGGGGTTAAAATGAAAGCCCATTCTTATAATATTTCTGTGTGTGTGTGTGTGTGTGTGTGTGTGTGTGTTTAAGAAAACAAAATTCCAGAATGTCACTACAACTCTTCTAATCCATTTAAAGGCTAAACATGTATAAAAACTATTCTCTTTAATAATTGCACAGGTTAAAAAAGGGGGGGGGGAGGACTAGAGAGACAGCTCAGAGGTTAATCACTGGCTGTTCTTCCAGAGGCCTTGAGTTCAATTCCCAGCAACCACATGGTGGCTCTCAACCATCAACAGTGAGATCTGGTGCCCTCTTCCGGTGTGCAGGTGTATTATGTACTATGTACATAATAAATAAATCTTTAAAAAAAATAAATGTACAGGTTAAAAACAATCCATTTGTAGTTTCCCCACAGGAACCTGAGAATGCTATACTAATAATATTATTATCAAAGAATTGTGAGTGTATTATTTGATAAAAGTCAAATGTAAAAAACAGAGAAGACATATTTAAGAATTTGAGAAATGTTACTGAATGCAGGAGAATGTATCAAACTTAAAAAATATGTCCCAAATTCCTATGTGATTATGATAGACTCCCAAATATTCTAAAATCAGCAGAACCAAAAGCATATCTGATCCTCTAAAAATTTCCTCCCTTCTCCATAACTAGAAACTACCATGGATCTGCCCTTCAATTTTACCCTCATCTTCAGTGGACTTCAACATTCTTCATCTTTGAATCACTGACTTCCGAACGATAAATAAATGTTATTGGCCTTAGATGTAAGGAACATGAGGTCGAATTTCATTGCCACTTAGTGTGTTCAGTAAGTCCCTAAAGTCCTGATAGTGTATGGCCTTTCAGTGGGGTCTATGCAAACAAAGAGATGAAGGTAAAACAAAACAGTGCAGGAAGACAACAGCAACAAAAAAATGTGTTCTCTGATGACACGTACAGATTAGAAAACAAGCTGTGAGGAAGTAACAGAAGCAGTTCAAGGTGGAAGTGAACAGGGAGTCAGGGAAAAAAGATAACAATTCAGATCGCTGCTTCTGGACAGATTTAAATATCGTCAACTGAGCGTCCTCTAAAGGTGGAGAGGGTTTACTTCCAGAAAAACAATTCCTCTGCAGGAGTCACATGATTTTGTTATCTCTCACACTGCTGGCCCCATGGCCACAGGTTGGAGATCCGCCCTGACACCGCCACTGGTTCCATCAGGCGTCGGTGATGCCTGCAGTTATCAGAGACATGATTAGAGCACCACCACGCTTGCTGGGAACACTGGTGCACCTGCTCGCTGGCTGCTGGGATTCGTGAGCTGATGTTACTGAAGCAGTTTCGTGGTTCTATCCATTATGCAGAAGAGCGGGGAAATACTGAGAAAGAGCACAGGCTAGCTACATGGGTCATTGTCCCGGCAATTAGGTGATTATGAGCCCCTCAGTGACAGCCACCTCGATGGGGGAAATGGTTTTTGATGGACAGCGTGCATACTTTGTGATGACTGCATGAAAGAGGTGCGCAGCAGTGAGCCAGAGAATGCCAACAAATACCAGTTTGCTTTTTCTGTGTTTAAACGCATCTTTAAAATCCTACCTTACTACAGAGTAGGATTCAGTACTTTCAGCTGCTTCTAAAGGTAAAGGAAAAATATATTGTTAATCAGCAATATAAAATAATAGAAAAGAGAGCCAGGTGGTGGTGACACATATCTTTAATCCCAGCACTCAGGAGGCAGAGACAGGCAGATCTGTGAGTTCCAGGACAGCCTGGTCTACAGAGTGAGTTCCAGGACAGCCAGGGCTGCACAGAGAAATCCTGTTTTGAAACACACACACACACACACACACACACACACACACACACACACACACATGAGATAAGTATAATATATTAAAACTGTAAAACTGATGATTGATTAATAGTATGAATAAATCTGGAGCCTTACATCAAGAGCATTCTAACGACAGGCAATCCACTCTTCAAAACCTCAAACTTCCACTAGTTTGTGTATTTCAAATCAAAAGAGGGAGACATCTTCAAATTTTAATACCTAAGTGTAAACTCCCATGCCCAGTGACCATGACTGTAGCTGAACTCAGGCTGACAGAAAATGGCGTTGTTAGCAGAATCGCTATGAAAAGCTGACGGCGTCAAACAAACACAGATTGTGGGTCTTCCGGGCTGGTGGCACCAAGGCCAGTGCTAAGGATGTGTGCTCATTTTATAGTTCTAAGTGTTCGTCATTTTTCATCTTAAGTGCATAGGCATTCTGCCCACATGCAAGTCTGTACGCCATCTGTATTGCAGAAGCCAGAAGAGGGCGTTAGATCCCCTTGAATTTGAATTACAGATGGTTTTGAGCCATCAGGTGGGTGATGGGAATTGAACCCAGGTCCTCTAAAAGAGCAGCCACAGTCATGACTGAGTCACCTCTCAGCTCTGTGAACTTATGGGTTTTTTTTTTTTTTTTTAAATGACACAACACAGCTACCGCAGTGTATCAGTGGGAACTGCTCAGCTTCAGATAAAAAATTCTGCTGTAAGCAGCGACAGTGAGTGGCTGGGGTCCTTTGAAGCTCTGCAAAACAATAGAGAGAGGGGACAATGTACTGGCTAGTCTTATGGCAGCTTGACACACAAAGTAGAGGTGTCTGAAAGGAGGGAAACTTAATTGGGAAAAACACCTCCAAAAATTCATCTGTAAGGAATTTTCTTAATTAGTAACTGATGGGGGAGAGTGCAGCCCCAGCTCATTGTGGGTGGTGCCACTCCTGGGCTGGTAATCCCCTGTTCTCTAAGAAAGCAGGCTGAGCCAGCGATGTGAAGCAAGCCAGTAAGCAGCACCCCTCGATGGACTGTGTCAGCTCCTGCCTCCAGGATCCTGCTCTGTTTGAGTTCCTGTCCTGACTTCCTTCAATGACAATATGGAAGTGTAAGCCAAATTAAACCCTTTCCTTCCCAACTTGCTTTTTGGTCATGGTGTTTTTGCAGCAATAGAAACCTTAACTGAGACAAAGGAACAAGGATCTTTTTCAGTCCCCAGATTCCAGAAGAAAAGAGGCATCACTATGCTTGTTCTTATTAGGAAAAGCCAATGACATCTCTCAGTTTTAGCTATGTTCTCTATCTTGTGTGATGCAAATGGCTCACTTCGTCTCCCATAGATCTGTTTCTTGGGAAGAACACACCTTGATGATTTATCCACTCCTCATCATACTTTTAGATAAGCTTGAAATGCACCACTGAGGAAAAGAAAGTTGCTATTTGATATGAAAACTATAGAAATAAAATCATTATCTCATTCAAGCTTCAGAATGGGCCAAGAGGGAGCTCTCTGTATATAAAGAAAACTTTCTTTAAATCATCTAAAGCATGATAAATAAGTATTGGAACTCTCTCGAGTACTTCCCAGGACAGACAGTCTACTATGCTCATAGAAGAGTAAAATAAAATAGATGTAGCAGAGTGCATTAGACTTGTATACACAGTGTGTGTGTGTGTGTGTGTGTGTGTGTGTGTGTCTGTGTGTGTGTGTTTTGTATAACCACAAGTATGGTTTCCCTACTGCTGGCAGCTGTGGCAGTTTGAATGAGAATGCCCCATATGCTCATATGTTTGAATACTTGTTCCCCAGGTGGTGGAACTATTTGGGAGAGTGGAACTGTTTGGATGTAACAGAAGAGTAACTAAGACAGAAGTGTTAGCTCCAAGGCCTCGCACTAGGAAATAAAACAAAGATATTAAAAGGTAATGATTTCCCAAAGAAACTTCACGAGGTTATAAACGTACAGACAGTGCTCACGCTCATCCCTGGTGCTCTTTCATGTGTAACTAAGTGTCTCTTATTCAGACTTGTCATGGCGAGTGTCAGCTGTCACTCGACACAATCTATATTCTTCTGAAGAAGTCTCAATTGAGAAATTGCCTACATCAGATAGGCCTGTGGCCATGTCTGTGAGAGACTGTCTTGACTGTTTTTTTTTCAAGTTACACTGTTTCAGAAAGCAAAATATACTTAATGATTAACTCACTAAACAACTCTGATCCCAGATAAATAGGCAATTTAAAAATACAAAATTATTTTACGTGTTCACTTTGTAAATGCCACTTTCATGATTTGACTTACTTAATTCTTGCTTTTTTTTTAATCAAAGAAAGGATTATCTAGAATAATTCCTAATCCAGGTCTTACCTAGATTGCTGTCTTGACAAATTTCGAGTCCCTTTTCTTCATATTCTAAAACACCTTGTCTTTTCCACGAACGAGAAAAATGATAAGCATTAACTACTGTTTTAGTAGAGGTATGAAAACACTTAACAAAGACTTTCAATTATTTAAAGAGTGTTTCATTAAATACAAGAGAAGTTGTCACTATATTTCAAATGTGCAAGCTCTTAAAAAGTTTTTATGGCATTTGCAACTAAACAAACACATAGAGATAAGATTAAAACAAGATTAAAAGTGATACAGGCAGTAATCAATGTCTCAAGGTCACACCCCTAGCAAGAGTGAAATCTAGGAATTAAATGCACTCTTGTGTGAATCTGAAACTTCCCTGTGTTCTTTTTTCATCCACTTCTTACCTATGCTCAGTGAAGAATGGTTAATGCAAATACAGACAGTGTACTCCAACTTCCTGTGCATACTACACGTAAAATCTAAGATGCTTTAGAAAACATAAAGAGACCCAGATGGATTCTGGTACTCACAATCAACCAGAAATGCTCATCAGCTGAGCATTCCTCAGAGCCAGCAACCTAAAGCCTGTCACCCAAAGGAGAAGGTGACTGTCAGTTCCCATTGTGTTTAGCAGTGTACTTTCATAAGACGTGCACATTAGAAGCAGCAATGAAAATGAAAATAAGACATTAAGCTCAATGTTGAGTAGAAGATGCACAAGCCTGTATTTTACAAAATTGGTAAAACCAACATGCAATCCTTTAGCATCATGTGACATAGGACCAGCTTGTGAATAGCGAGTACCATGCATCATTAAAGTAGCATAGCAATCCTCTTCAATTCTTCTTTTTGTGCCTGATGAAATGGCTCATTTATAAATTGCCTGTGCTGTGCTTTGTTTTGGTAATTCTATCTCATACACTAGAAATGAAACTTGTTCCTCTCTATTTAACTCCCCAGGAGGCAGGGCTGCGCAATCACTGCAGAGAGCCAGTGAGGCTGTTACGTAGAGAAAGGAGGAAACAAGGGCACCTCTCCAGCTTGGCATCTGTGTGTAACTCCGCTGCTTCGGTTACTGAAAATTCCTTCATCTGTGCTTTCTCTTCCTCCAGAGGAGCTAAAAGTGACACCACTTCATCCTGCATAAAACAACAACAGCAAAAAACCAGTAACTCACGAAATGACACATTTCACATAATTAAAAATCTCCTAGCATTTTCTGTGAATGTGCTGGTGTAAGGCAGAGAAGAAATAAATCACATCTCTCCTCCAGCGGGCCTTCTCATGTGCTATCCCTTTCTGTGAGATGCTGTTCCCCAACTGGGGCCATCACACTAGCCACCCTCAAAACTCAATTCATGAAGGAGAGTCCGAGAGAGAAACAAACAAACAACAACAACAACAAAAAAAAAAAAACAAAACAGGCTGTATCTCAAACACAAGACAGCTTCATAAATCACAAGTGAAAGGAGAGAAAAGCAAAGATCGACAGAGAAATCAAAACACCTAAAAACAAACCCAACGAAGGGGGTTAAGACTTCCAAAAGGAAAAGAAGACACATAAGAAAGGAATTGAAGAAGACAATAGAACACAGAAAGACCTGCCATGCTTATGATTGGCAGATTTAACATTGTGAAAACTGGTGCGTCACCAGAATCGATCTCCAGATTCAACACGACCCACATCAGAATCCCACTGACATTCCTCAGTGCTAGAGGAAACAACTAAAATTCATGTGGCCCCCGCTAAACAAAGCAACCCTTAGGAAGGGAAAGCCTGAAGGTACTGCAGTGATACCCTCAGTTTCTGTTAGAGTCATATTTTAAAAACCCAGCACTACACGGGCATAGAGACAGACACGTGGGAGTAGAGAGTTGCCTCATCAGTTAAGAGCACTTGCTGCCCTTGTAGGGGACCAAGCTCGGGGCCTGGCAGTCACATGGCAGCTCACAGCCTTCTACAAGTCCAGCTTCCCGTAACTGAATGTCCTCCTCTGGCCTCTGGGGGGTCAGCTACATGTGCATGGTAACCTTACACGCAGGCAGAGCACCCATACACATACAAATAACTAATTAAAACAGACACGTGAAGCAGGGGGTGCAGGCTGCGCACATACACCCAAGCACTTAAAGCCACTTGTTTTTTGATGAAGTTGTCAAAAACACACTGGAGAAAAGGCAGCTCCTAATTGATGGTACCCGGAGCATGGGGCCTCCACACTTAGAGGCCCGGAACTAAAAACCACACTTCCCATTCCACACAATCATCAGCTCAAAATGGACCAAAGACCTTAGTGAAAGACTGTAAAATGTTGGAGGAAAACACTTCAAAGCCATGCAAGTATTACTATGGTTTTTCCTTCCACAAAGGACTCCAATACTGAAAATAATAGATGAATAGACATTGGGATTGTTTCTGAACAGTGAAGAAGACAGTCGCCAGAGTACAGAGACAGCCTACAGAGGGTAAAAAAAAAAAATCTTTGCCAACTATGTATTAGGCATTGACTTAATATCTAGGATCTATAAAGAACAGCAAAGGCTGAGCATCACCATATAAGGGAGAAGATAGATGCAGGTGGTATGAAGGGTGAGAGGGAAATGGTGGCTCAAAAAGGGTTATGTGGGGTAGGAAATGGGAGGGCAGAGCAGAGGAGGGGGCGCGGGGACAAGTGATCAGCACTAAAGGCTCTTGAAGAACCATGGAAACCTCTGTGGAGACGTCTTTAAGACACATATAAAAAGACTTTAAATATTTAGTGTATAATGGAGGAGGTATCTCTCTCAGACAACACAGACTATCAAATGAAAAGTTCAGGGCCCAAGAATGGACTATCTTTCTTGGGGTTGTTGGCCAGTGGGGTCATCAGCAGCCTTATCCGGCTGTGAGGCCTGTAAGCCATGATAATGACTGCCTGGCATGATATGCTCACAGGTGTAAGGAGGGCGCCAACCTTACGGGACTAACCAACTCTTTTTTGGTTGGATCTAGAACCCATTTCACAAGAAGGAATCCACGCCTTGTGCTGCTAATGGACCTAAGAACCTGGCGGTGGGGAAAGGGGAGGTACCTGCATGTGTCCAGGGAGGGAAGCAAACTGTGAGAAGGTGAGAATGGAAACTCAGTTCAGACTGACTTCATTAACCTGGAGCAGTCTTGGGGAGTTTGAGACCGGTGGTTCATTGTGGCACATTTAAAGCACAGTACAACTTGGGAGGAAATTTTCAGGCAACAATTATTCCAGTTCCAGGTGCTCAATAAAACTTAAGGTGTTGACTACATAGAGAGTTCTTTATAAAGTAGAGAAGCAGGTTCTCTAGCTGAAGGGTCTAGAATCCAACGTGGTCTCTGACTGAGACAGCAAAGCGATCAGCAGGCTGCAGAGTACCTGTGGCATCCCTACCCTACAGATGGGTTCTGTTAACTAGGATCTCCGGAGAAAGACGGTCTGGAATAAACATTCTAGGATATTTGGGTGTGGTTTCCCTCTATAGCAAAAGATGGATGAGATCTGCCTCCACAGACAGCAAAAGAGGTCACAAGGTCATTAACAATATCTTCTTCCAGCTTTCTGGGCAGGAAAACAGGTATTTTATCTCCCTGATTGGGGAGAGGCCCCTGCGTGTTTAACATTCCTGGTGTTCCTAGGGATCTGAGGGCAAAAAGACAGAGCCATAGGTTTTGTTGGTGATAGAACCTAAGACAAGGTAGATCATAGACTCAAGGGAAAAACTTACCTCTATTATTTTGCTGGCTTACTAAAATGACCCCTAAAGATATATCATAACACATAGATGAGTGTGTCTCTCAGTCCTTACCAGGGTGCTGAGTAGACGGTGATTAGTACGGAGAACAACAACTGATAAACACGTAGAAAATAAGAGACTGTAGAGCGCTTCATCCTACATGGGACATCAATATCAACCTCGAGTCCTCGCATGGCCTAGGGGCCATTGCTGAAGAAGGGCAGAAAGGAGACCAGACCCAGGGAGCACACGACTATAATGAAAGAGTGTTTTCTGGACACGACTGGGCAGTTTCACATATGACTTGATAGTGGCCGTGATTGCATGCCTAAGGCCTAAGCAAGACCAAGCCACACAAAATCCCAGCACAGAGGGGTGAGGTATCAGGATCAACTGGCACCTGATGCTGCTGGGAAAGGGAGAGTCAGTTATTTTGAGGGATGTGGCCCATGAGAGGCTGCCCATCTCCAGCAGATGGCCCTGCACCTATGCATATACTCGCACTGCTAAGTGGATTCCAAGAGAGAGCGAGAGACACAGAGAGAGATACAGAGAGACAGTGAGAGACAGAGACACACACAGAGAGACACAGAGACACACACAGACAGAGACAGGGAGAAAGGCGAGAGAGAGAAAATGAATGAACATGTGAATTTAGAAGGAGAGAGGGAGGTAGGAGGAGATGAGAGGGTAGAGAGGAATTAGAAGAGAAGAAATGAGGGGTGGACTTGATTAAAACATGTTATATGCATAGACGAAAATATAAAAAAAAATAAGGCATTTCCCATTTTTAAAAAGAAGTATTTTCTCATCAGGATTGGCTGTGTTGTCTTCCTCTGTGGCCTGGCAAGACAGCATCTCCCAGGGGAAGGTGATCAAAGAGCCAGCCCCTGAGTTCATGTCAGAGACAGTCCCTGTTCCTTTTACTAGGAAACCCACTTGGAGACTGAGCTGCCATGGACTATATCTGAGCAGGGGTTCTAGGTTATCTCCATTCATGGTCTTTGGTTGGAGTATCAGTCTCAGAAAAGACCCCTGTGCCCAGATTTTTTGATTCTGTTGTTCTCCTTGTGGAGCTCCTGTTCCCTCCAGGTCTTTCATCTCCCCCTTCTTTCATAATTCCCTGGACTCTGCCCAAAGTTTGGCTATGAGTCTCAGCATCTGCCTTAATACCCTGCTGGGCAGAGTCTTTCAGAGGCCCTCTGTGGTAGGCTCCTGTCATGTTCTCTGTCTTCTCCTGCTTCTGATGTCTATCCCATTTGCCTTTCTGAATGAGGACCTAATAGGCTAAGGTTAGATAGAAGGGAAGGAGGTCCTCCCCTATCAGTGGAACAAGGCAGGGGCATAGAGGGAGGGAGGATAGGACTGGGAGGAGATAAGGGAGGGGGCCACAGCCGGGATGCAAAGTGAATAAATTGTAATAAATAAAAATTAAAAATATATTTATAAAAGAAGTATTTTAGTCAGCTAATTATAGCTCTATGAGCCTACCTGAAAGTTTTAACATTTCAAATAGAAAGACAAACAGAAAGAAATAGCCTCTTGATTTTTCACTTAAGGAATTAGTAACCAGAAATCTAGAAAAAATGTAGATCATGAAGGTATAATTAATAAAAATGAGGTGTGCCTAAAGACTTTAAGAGATGTTCTAAAATCTTAATCTCCTTTCCTGAGGGGAGATCACTGGGGGTGCGCTGTAAACTGCCTTTTTTATTTCTTACGTTGCCCTCCTTTTAGCCCTGACACAGCTCCGAGGGAAATCACCCAGAATTACAAATCCTCATAGATAGCAAAATCATAGCATGTGTTTAAAAATTTCGCAACCGAATAGAAGACCAGCCTGTTTTACATAGAGCATTCCAGGCCAGGCAGGGCTACATGCTGAGACCCTATATCCAAATTCTACTTTATTTTTTAAATATTAAAATTTAAGATCTAACTACTGATATTCTTGATGCTATACTGCTTGTAAAATTACATCACAGGAATCCATTCGCATGTTCATTCACTCATATTTAAAAAATATTAAAATGTGATTTCCCCACAAAACATATTCTAGGTGTTTCCGGTTACAAAGAAGTAAGTTCCTGTTTGTCTTCGAAGTTGGTTCTCCCTGCACAACACTGGTTGGCATGGAGCTCGCTCTGCAGACCAGGCTGGCCTGGAGCTCGGAGTTCTGCCTGCCTCTGCCTCCCGAGTGCTGGGCTTGGAGTCGTGTGCCACCGCAGTAGGCGTGAGTAGGATTCTTAACCTTCTGAAGCATGAGGTGATAAAGAAGCTTTAGGGGTGCATATAAATAAAGCGTAAAAGGCTTTCATCAAGGTTAAAAAATATTAACTACAAGCCAGGTGTGGTGGCACACACCTTTAATTCCAGCACTCAGGAAGCAGAGGCAGGAGGATCTCGGAGTTTGAGGCCGGTCTGGTCCTAGCATGTTCTAGAAAGCCAGGGCTGCATAGGACGGTGGTTCTTGATCTTCCTAATGCTGTGACCCTTCAATACAGCTCCTCATGTTCTGGTGACCCCAACCACAACATGGCTACTTCATAACTGTAATTTTGTTACTGTCATGATTTGTAATGTAAATATCTGATAGGCAGGATATCTGGTATGTGACCCTGTGAGAGGTCATTCAACCCCAAAGGAGTCATGCCCCACAGGTTGAGAACCACTGACATACAGCGACTCTATCTCAAAAACAAAAACCCCAAATAAAACAAATCAACTATGTAAAACTGTACAGAGGAGTTTTCTCTGACAAACCTTCCACATAAGAATGATAATAGAGAAGGCACTGTATAACTGAGGATAAATATGGAGAAAGCTAAACTCTGAACAAGAAAATTAATCTAATAAAGCAGCATTTTACCTTTGAATTCTCTTTTGCTGGAGGGTCCAGAACATTAGAACCAGGTTTGTCAGAAATCCTTCAGTGTGAAACATACAATAAGACATGAGTTTGGTTCTTTGAAAAATCCTGGAGCATGATCAACTATCAACTAAACATCTTACTCATCTCATATATACATTTATATAAAAGTTAACCCTCGTTTAAAGAAACAAAGCTTTCAGTTACCTCCTCTGCCTCCACTTCTCTCATCAAAGAGTGACAGACAGCCAAAATATTCTCAAGGGTTAAGAATGACTGGCCTGTCACATAAGCAAGCTGCATATAAATTGTTTTTTGGGTCTTAACTGCATATTTTCCAAAGTCTCTGAAGCCCAGAGCTGGCTCATTTGCAGTCGCAGCTCTGACTAAACTTTCCAAAGACTAAATATGAATCTATATAAATTTGCAGTTGAACGTTACTCAAAAAAGGAATTCCAAGAAAGCTAGCTCAAGATGTAGAAGGAAGCCATTTTTTATGCTGGATATGTGGGCTTGAACTAAACGATACATTTCATTTCCAAATCAATGCAAACTATATTCTGATTTTAAAAGTCAGAAAACAGTGGGCAAATGTCCTCTCTCTAAGGCTCAAATAAAAAATCAATTACTGGTTCATATGATTTTTGCTACACAAAGTGAGTGATGCTAACATGATAATGCAAAACAAGGTGAAGAGAGACATGGTCCCATCTTCAATGTCTGTCACTGATTAAACAGTAAGCTATGCAATTAAAAATGGCAATTCTGACTGTCCGGAGTAGAAACAACACATTTAAAAGACCCCACTGCTTGTCTTCAGCCCTAAACAGCATAGAACATAAGACTAAAAATACTGGTTAGTTTTTAGCTAATTGACACAAGCTTAGAGTCATCAAAGAGGAGAAAGACTCAACTGAGAAAAATGCCTCTATAAGATCAGGCTGTAGGCAAGCCTGTAGGGCATTTTTTTTGAAATTAGTGGTTGGTGAAAGAGGGCCCATCCCATTGTGGATGGTGCTATCTTTGGGTTGGTAGTTCTGGGTCTATGAGAAAGCAGGCTAAGCAAGCCATGAGGAGCAAGCCAGTAAACAGCTCTCTTCCATGGCCTCTGCATCAGCTCCTGCCTTGCTTGAGTTCCTGTCCTGACTTCTTTCAGTGATGAACAGAGATGTGGAAGTGCAAGCCAAATAAACACTTTCCTCCTCAGTTTCCTTTTGGTCATAGTGTTTCATCACAGCAATAGTTCTAAGGCAGTTATCTTCTATAGCTGTAACTTGAGTTTCTATTACATAGTGTTTCTTTTCTCACAGCTGTCTGAAATGATCTGACTGAGCAACTGTGTGATACACTAATATCTGTATTCTTAAAACTCAGAATATAGTTTGCATTGATTTGGAAAGGAAATGTGCAATTTAATTTGAGCCCACATGTGAAGCATAAGACTAGGCTTCCCCTTACATCTTGAGTTAGCTTTCTTGGTAATTCTCTTTTAGGTAATTCTCAATTGTAACTATGTATGGATCCATGTTCAGGGGCTGGAAAGTTTAATCAGAGCTGTGACTGCAGATGAGCCAGCTCTGGGCATCAGAGACATTGGAAAATATGTAGTGAGGCCCAAATAGCAGTTTATATGCAGCTTGATTAAAAGACAGGCCAGAAACAAAGCCATGGCCCGAGAGACAGAAAGAGTCAAAACATAAGAGAAAAATCATTGGAAATGCTTTCCCTGTGTCGTTCCACGTCTAACCTGGACCCTCTTGCTAGGGTGAGAAGAAAAAAGGGAGAAAAATAATGAGGTACACAGGTTGCCCCTCTCCCCTCCGATTCATGATGATCATGTACCACTTTCTAAAGGAAGATGGAGGAAGAAAGATGTCCACCAGGCTATGCAGACCCTGGGTTAGTGTGACATGTTCCTGTGGTGGTTTGAATAAAAATGGCCCCAAAGGTCCATAGGGAGTGGCACTATTAGGAGGTGTGGCCTTGTTGGAGTGGGGGTGGCCTTGTTGGAGGAAGTGTGTCACTAGGGGGTGGGCTTTAAAGGCTCAGATGCTCAAGCCCAAGCTCAATGGCTCACAGTCTTTTCCTGCTGCCTGTGGTTCAGGATGTACAACTTCAGCTCCTCCTCTAGCACTGTCTGCCTGTATGTCACTATGCTTCCCACCACACCAATAATGGACTTGATCTCTGAGCTGTAAGCCAGCCCCAACCAAGTGATTTTCTTCATAAGAGTTGCTGTAGTCGTGGTGTCTTGTCAGAGCAATAAAACCCTAGCCAAGACAGTTTGGTTCGGAACTGCAGTTTCTTCATTTTTTCCTCTTCCTTCCTTCTCTCACTCCTTTCTTCTGTTCCCTCTTTCCTGCGTTGTTAGGGGTGGACTGCAGGTGTTTTCTAACGCAAGGTCAACACAGTACCAACACCCACACTGCAGCCTGGAGGTGGCTGTGTAGCTCAGGCCTTACATTCATGGCTGCCCCCACCTCTAGGTCACAGGCGCGCATCCGCCTGCCTGCTGCGCAACTCTGGTTTTCTAGGATGGGAAAGGAACCAAGCAGGCGTGGTTCTGACGTGCTGTCAGAAAGTACAGAACACTCACAAACTAAAGGTGATGTCCACAGGCTGCTGGGAACGCAAAACCTACATGGGATCAAGACTGTAAACTCTTTACAAAGCAGAGAATCAATCTGAATAATTACTTTTTCTATTGATTTATCTTTGATAATAAATACTATTAGATGTCAGATAATAAATATTCTGATCACCATGTGTTACATTTCTTCTATAAATCTAGGATGTCGGATACCCTTGGCCTTCACCCCTTCCGATGGCCACTAAGCTGGTTTTTACTCGGAGAAATGGAAGCCTGTACCTGAGCTGCTGCTCAGGCGTCTGTACATTTGCCTCCTTTCCTGACAAGACTGCTCCCTGCTGTTTGTCCTCCTCTAGAGGAATCGATTGTGCTTCCATGTCTTCCTGTATTAAAAAGAAAAAGTTTAAATTATTTTAAAAAGAAAACACTACATACTTTTCAGCGAAGTCAAAAGTCTTGGTCAAGCCAGCTTTACCCTCCACTCGACTGGGTTGTAGACCGCTGGCTGCCTGGAGAACTTAATGGGTTCAGGCCAGTCGGCAGGGTAGCCAATCCAGAGGTTGGATTCGGTGAGGAGGGACGACTGGACCACTGGAGGCTGCACAGGAAAGCAGAAGTGAGAGAGTCAGCGCCCTGACACCCACGTGCCGCCCCCACCACTGCTTGGAGGAGCTACACTGGAGCCCAGAAGCGCGCGCCATGGCTGGCTTGCCCTGAACACGGCACGCACAGTCACAGTCTCAGAAAGCATCGAGCAGACAAGCGCCAGAGACACACTGCCGACTTGCAGGTCTGCATCGTCAGACCGGGGACATCCGGCAGAAAGAACATTTGCTCACAGAACTCTTTCTCAGCGGGGAGGGAGCACTGACTTCTGATCAGGCCACATCTCCACCTGTGGCATCTGGAGGCCAATGCAGGGAAGGGGGGAAGGAGGCCTCCCCAGCTGCAAAAACACGCTGGCTGTAGGTACAGCACCACCTTTCATTTTGAGAGCTTATTTTCATTTTATTCTTTCCTACTTTAATTTTTTTTTTTAGAATTTATACATTTGGACTTTTTTCATTTTGTGTTTTAATGATGTATTTATTTTATTTATGTGTATGAATGTTTTGCTTGTAAGTACATCTGTGTACATGGTGCACAAGAGGTCACAAGAGGGCATTGTCCCCCCTGGGATTGGATTTATGGATGGCTGTGAGGCACCATGTGGATGCTGGGAACAGAACCTGGATACAGGGCTCTCTAACAGGCCTGGGCACGGCACATCTGTCCCCAGCAGACTAACCCTTTCCCCTCCCCTCCCCTTTGCTAAAGCTTGAGATTGCGTGTGTAAGCTAGTCCCCAAGGTCTATTCCCTGGTTTGGGCCACTGACTCCCTCTCCTGAGACTAAGCACCAAGGTCCAGCGTCAAAATTCATTCACTATTTGGCTACACTGGCTAACCTATCCAATCAGGACTCATCCTAGCACGGACCCCCCTTTTCTCCTTAAAACCCGCTCCTGCAGAGACAACTGCAGCATGCTGCCTTTGTCCAGTCCAGAGGCACCCCCCCAAATAAAACACCTGCTTGTCCCTCTGGGGTAATAAGTCTCCTTTGTGCTGAGAACTTGGTGTCTGAGTGTGTCTGTGCCAACTTTGAGGTCTCCTACAAACTATAAGCACTTTTAACCTGTGAGCCTCTGAGCCATCTCTCCAGCCCCTGGGTTTTAACTTTTATCTCATTTGAAAGGATTTTTTTTTTTCTATGTTCTTTCTCTAAGCCTAACATTTTCTTTCTTTCCACACCTCTAACTCATGGAATTTTCCTCCATTCTCATCTCACTCTTAATTTCCCCTCGCCAGTTCCAACCTCATTTCACTACTTAAACATTGACACCTCAGTTTTCAAAACATACCGCATTTCCCCAACCAGGACCCTAGGGCCACTCTCTCTGAATCTCACAGAGGCCACGTGTGAGGCACACAAGTGTCTTCCTCAGCTGACACCAGGGCCCCTGCCAAACAATAACAGCATTGTGCTTCCTCCCAAACGTATGTACAACTGAGGACAACTCACCTACAGGAACCGTGTAAGATCAATCAACCATAACTGAACAGCTAAGAAGAACAGGAAACTAAAAACCAGAGGAACAAATCCACCGTGGCAGATGCACAAATGACCAAGGAGGATTTGGCAAAAACCTGTGACTGCACACATAAACATTGAAAAGGCAGTTTGACCACACGAAAGAAATCCAGAATCCACGAGCTAGCAGTCCACCGTGAAACCTTCACAAGGCCACAGTCTCTCGATGTTAGAAAACATAGGTAGCTGAAAAGCCAGGCAAGGGGAGCAGAGATTGCTTTAAAGAGGGCCAGCAACTATGCTGAAGACTCGACTATGAAGAGGAAGGAAATCTCCACCTACATGGGAAAGCTGCTCAAGGTTCAGAAATGAAGCAACCCTTAACACAAAGAAAAAGAAAAAAAGAAAAAAAAAAGTATTGCTAAAAAAAATTCAGCCAGGAAATTTAAATGATAAAAAAGAAACAAACAGAACTACAGGAAAAGTATCAATCAAGCAAATAAAAAGTAAATAAAATTTCACAGTAGGAAACAGCAGCAGTCGAGAGGAGCAGAACACATCTCAGAGATGCAGGACATACAGAGATGTTACGGGATGGAGGGATGGTTCGGCTGTTTAGAGCCCCGGCTGCTCCTGCAGAGGACCTGGGTTGCATTCCCAGCACCTACACGGTGGCTCACAGCTCAACTCCAGTTTCAGGGGATCCGACACACTCTCTGGCCTCCCAGGAACCAGGGCATGCATGCGGTGCACATGCAAACGACATTTTATGTATGACATGCAGTCATACATAAAATGTGATAAATAAACCAATTTTTCTCTAAAAACAAGAGCTTTATGAACATGCCTGGGACTTTACTGCTTTGAGTGTATCCAAAAGACCGAATGTAGGAATCTGGTGAGGGGTGGGTGGAGGAGACCCTGAGATAAAACCTAATCTCACGGAGAAATAGTTCTATGGAAACTACAAAATGTCCAGAACCTCAATAAACAGATACATTTCTAAACGCAAGAGGATGTCTCTCTGCTGTTGCCCTAACCCTAAGACCTACTGCTGGGCATGGTGGCACACACCTTTAATGCCAGCATCTGGGAGGCAGAGACCAATCTGTGAGTTTTGAGGCCACCCTGGTTTGCTTAGAGTTCCAGGGCAGCCAGAGCTAGTACTACATAGTAACTTTGTTTCAAAATAAAGAAGAGAAAGAGAATAAGGAAAGAGAAAAAGAAAAAGAGGTACATACAACTGCATTTAATATAATTCTAAATATTCTGTGTGTGTGTATGTGTGTGTGTTGAGTATGGGAATAAATCTTTAAATCAGAAGATGACCATGACAGGGGTGAGTAAGAAGTTTCTAAGGATGGCTATGGGTAGGAAACTGAAAAAACTAACAAACAAACAAACAAACAAACAAATCCCAACAACAAAAAAACCCCCAAAAAACAAAAAACAAAACAGTACAATAGAATACCTATGAAATCAAAGCAGCCGTTGAACCCGGTGGGGAGTAAGAGGTCCAGTTAGTGGGGACAGAGGATCAAAAAGCCCCAAGTTGTAGTGGTTTGAGTGAGAATGTCCCCCATAGTCTTAGGCATCTGAACCCAGCTGGTGGCTCTTTGGGCAGGTTTGGGTGTACAGCCTTGCTGGAGGAAGTGTACCACTGAGCTGGGCTTTGGGAGCTAACAGCCCCCGCCACTTCCACTTTGCCCCCAATCTCTGCTTCGGGTTTGTGGTTCACGCAGTGAGCTCCCAGCTTCCTGCCACCAAGCCTGCCACTCCTTGTGCCCCAGCTCCACCATCATGGACTCAGTTCTCCAGAACTGTAAGCCAGAGTAAACTTGCTTTTCCTTATGTTGCCTTCGGCCATGGTGTTTTATTGCAGCTGAACAGAAAACTAATGCAAAAGTACTTATGATGGTCCTATATGAAAATGCATTGGCTTGTATGCAAATATTGAGGAATAAGCTAATTCTCACTGTAAAAGACCCTGTGCTGCACAGAGGAAATACTATATAGCTTGAATGTCCTCTTCCTTGCTGCCCTTTCCCCATGCTGCCTTCTGACTGTCCACTCTTGGGCTACACCTCTCTCCAGACCGCCCTCCACCTGCGATTCTGTCAGTATTTGTCATGGGATTTTGGTGTCCTGCTTATTTTTCCATTTAGAAGAAGGCTTCACGGGGCAAGCGCTCTCTCTTGCTCTTCAGGGTTGTGTAAGACCTGGGGTCTCACAGCTCAGGAGTTTAAGATCGCGCCCTTCCCAGAAACTCCCCCAGACCACAACTCTTTGCAAAAGCAAGAGGTTTAATTTAACCATTGTGCAATGAGGTCACCCCTGCTGGTCAGTAAAGAGTGGCACTGGGAGACAAAGGCCTTAGGTTTTTAAAAGAAAAAGTGCGGGAAATTTGAAGTTGCAGTTTTGGCAATTTAGGATTGGATGAGGAAGCTATAAAGTAAGATAATTGGTTAGTCTTAGGTGCTCAAGCTTGGCCAGTCCTGCCCAGTGTGGATGCAGCTGCAATTGAAGGTGGGGGTGGTTAGCTCATCCTTGAAGATTGGGGGCTGCGGACTTTTGGCTGGAGGTCAAAAGCTACTCAGAAGAAGTCTGGGTTCGTTGCTAAGAAACACTATCTTGAAGACAAGGGTCTAGTCGTTCTTTTTGCTGAGTGAAGGTCATTGTTTGCTTGCTTTTTTCATATCTGTCCTCACAGATAGGGTCACATTCCTCCATTCTCTAGAAAGGTACTAAGAGGCTTTAGCTTAATCTGGACCTAAAACTCAAAAGTATAGGCTTTAGAAGACATATAGCTTACAAAATTAGTCTAACCCTTTCAGTTGCAAACTTTGGCTCATGAAGATGAAGGTTTTGCATATTTTACTAACTGAACAAGTTCCATCATCTCCAGCATAGAGGGTCTCAGTTTGCCGCTCAGAGCACATCTATGTCTCCTGAAGTGACATGCTCATCTGTCCTGAGAACTGACAGGAAACTCTGCAGGGTCGGTACGTCAGCCCACGTGCAACACGGCAGCTCCGGGGCAAACCTTCATATTTCGGGGAGTAGTGTCTCGGTGACACAGTGCACAGAGCTTTCATCTAGATGGGCACTAGGCTCATCTAGTGCCTAGTGTGGTAGGCACTCACTTGGCTTCTTCTGTCTGTGGTGCCTTCACCTCTGACCCAACTCACTCCCCATAGCTCACTGAGGGTGTGTGCATGAATGCCTCCTGAGGGAAAGTGTGTGCATTTGCCTCTTAGTGGCATCTGCCTCGGAGGCACGGAATCCATAACATACATGATGTCACTTCTCGGTGTATTAAAGAGTTAAACAAATGATTACATGAATTCCTCTCTTTCTAAAAGAGACAGAAGCCAACAATACCACGGGGACAAAAATCAATGAAGAAAGCCACTTAAAAGTTAGTGAACAGAACAACGTAACTAAGCAAGGGAACCGGCAGGAAAGGCCAGGTTTGCATTAGAGGGGAGCAGGTCTGGAGTCCAGGGTCTCCCTGGCTTCAGTTTTTCAGTACAGTTTACTGAATGCAATTGTTCTTACGAGGATGGGAAAACAGACAGCAGGGAAAATAACACAAAGTTAGGAGAGGGCAAGTTCAGTGTCTTCAGTTCCTGTGGTGTGACATTTGAAGTACCCAGATGATACACTCGGATACTTCCATTTGGGAGAAGAAATGAAATCCCTTGAAAAGCATATGGGTTTAAGAACACTGACTGGTAAAATATACTAACCTGAAAAAAGTTAAGTAACACAAAACTAAATTTTAAAATGAAAATAAGGTAGGAAGAGACAGGGTTTTCAGAGATGCAATTGTATATTACATCATGCCCAGACATGGAGGACAGGAAATGTGTATTTAAAAGATTTGCAAGTAATTTCCCTCATAGGAATGTACATCTAATGTACACATAATGAAAGTCAATATAAAACAAGAATTGAAAAGTTACAAAACCACAAAAGTGTTTAAAAGAAGGTGTTCTGAGAAGGCTCCTTTTGAAAACAAGCCCTACATGCTTCCATTATGAGGTACGGCTGGTGCTGTCCTCCTGGAGCTCGGGCCACTCGGACGTGAGCAGGAAAGAAGGTCACTTGAACCAAATAGGTTTGTTTAAAAAAAAAAAAAAAGTGATGTGAATGAGCGTTTTGCCCACATGTATACAGTATACACATTGCAGGTGTGAGTGATGCCAGGAGAGGCCAGAAGAGGGCACTGGATCCCCTGGAACTGGAGTTAGAGATGGTGTGACCTGGGGAAAGGCGCTGGAAATGAAGAGCAAGTTCTTTTAACTGCTGAGCCGTCTCTCCAGCCCTGAGCCATACAGTCTAAGGAGATATGGGCAACCTATTGAGAACCTACATCAAGATAATTTTAAAATATAAACACATGACAGGACAATTAAGCTTTTTAAGTGCCATTATAATATCATCAAGAAAATCAAACTTGTTTTTAAAATCAACCTGCTCTTCCTATGCCTAAGCAGATACTGATATTTCCTAACTGAGCTACATGCAAATGTAGTTTAAAATTGGACAGATGATCTAAAATATAGTGTATATTTGCCACTGTTAAAATTGCCAGTTAGTTAGTTTCCACATACTTTGCAGATCTTGAGTAAATTTGGATCCAGTAGCCATACTAGGGGTGAACAATGTGGGGGGGGAATCTCTTCAAGGGGATGAGTTCTCCAACTGCTGGGGGGTCAGTGACAGGGGAGTGTTCAAGCTCCACCTCACAGGCACTTGGCTCTGGACTCAAACGGCATTTTATAACTTAAAAGGCAAGAAGCAAAAACAAATAACAAAAAAGGTCAATAAACTGTTCCCAGAGTCACACAAAATGGCCTCATGGAAGACTGAATCAGCAGACATTCCTATTGCAGAGAGGTTTGTAGATTCTGTGGCACATGTGTGCCATCATTATTCTTGAGTAACAGGTACTGACTTCCAGAAAACACCCAAAGCTGAATTTGCTCATTACACTTTTCCCTCTGTACTTCCATTTCACACTGATATGGATGAAAAAAATATCAGAAGTTGCTCCAGAGAAGGTAGCTTCTACACTGCAAAAGAATGCTGTCTCTCATGGCTGATTTCCTCGACTTTGTGACACACATTTAGTTAGTCTTCTCGAGGGTGAGGGTCTTTGCTGAGGTGGAGGATGGACTGTGACAAGGGTGCGGCACTGCGCTGGCAGACACCACAATGAAAGCCTGTCGTGAACACAGCTGACCCATGGAGTCTGCCAGCAAGAACTGTTTTCCTTGAGCTTGGGCTGCTTTTGTAAATACTGCAGTGATAAAAGGTTCATTTTATTATTATTATGAAATGAGAAGCAGAGTCAAATGACCGTAACTGTCTACTCTAGGTGAAAACTGGGCCCTTTCTAACAGACAGAAAGACAAGGTGGAAAAAGAAGTATTGTGTTGGCTTTTAATCCGGAGAAATCTTTGGTACTCAGGATGACAGACAGTGATGTACAATATGAAAACACACATTTAATGAAAAAGACAGGAGCTGAAATGTTTAAGATCCAGCCGTCCAAAACTCCAATCTAAACCCACAGCTGGAGGAGACTGAAGGCGCTACAAATCTTTGCTACTGTGGCCCTTTCTAAACTGTTCCCTTTTCATTTATGACACAGCTCCTTAAGGCAAATCACCCCAGCGTACACACCTTAAGTATTATTAAGGATAATGAATTTAGGGTACGTTAAAAATGTTCAGTACAGTTAGTTGCTAGTATTTTCCTGTTTGTTTGTTTTTTCACGTTGAAAAGTATTACAATTCTGGTTGCACGTGAACTGAAGTGGGAGCTAAAGGTGGCCTAGCGGCAGGTTTCTTGCCCTCTGCCAGCTCTTAATGACAACGATTTAAATGAGTAAGTAAAAGCCTTCTAAAATTTAAAACATCAGAATGTGAAACAAAGAATTTGAGCTGATATTAGAAACTAAGCACAAAAAATTCAGAAATTAAATTATTTATTTATTATTTTGAATAATTACAGTTTATTCACTTTGTATCCCAGCGGTAGCCCCCTCCTCGACAGAAGTTAAATTTTTATTCTATGGTTATTGAATCTCTACTTGTACAAGTTTAACTCTTTGGGCAAAAATTTATTATTTTATTCTTTTAAAACTGAAAGTAGATTCTTCTCTCATATAATACATCCCAACCACAGGTTCTGCCTCCCAGCACCCACACATCCCCTCTCCCCCGAGATCCGCTTTCCCTCCACTTCCTGTCAGAAAGGAGCAGGCCACCAAGAGACAACAAAACAAGATACAGTAAGACTGGGCAAAAACCCTTAGAGCGAGGCTGGACAAGGCCACTCAATAGGAGGAAAAGAGTCCCAGGAGCAGAGACACACATGTTCCCACTGTTAGGGTCCCACCAGAACAACCATCTCTGGACGGCTTTAAAACCAAAGCTCCAGCAGCTGTGGGCTAAGTTTTCTGTTTCCTTACAACTTTGAAATATGCTCACATAATGAAAGTCACACAAGCAAACTGTTATTTAATCTTTTTACATTACTTTATGTGTAGGAGTGTTTGTCTGCCTGTATGTGTGTGCACCCTGTGTGCACATGGTACGTCCAAGCCCGCAGTACTGGCGTTACAGATGGTTGTGAGCTGCCGTGTGGGTGCTGGGAGCTGAGTCTGGGTCCTCTGCAAGAGCTACAAGTGCTCTTAACATTGAACCATCTCTCGTTAGCTCCCCAGTTGAAAAAAATTAAACCACAAAAATGTATATTTACCCCAAAGGTCCTGGCTCAAATTTCAGGTTTGCTCTACTGTGAAAACTATGCCTTACAGAATTCCTTCTATTATGCATTCCCATTCCTGAAGCCCGCCCCCACCACATGAGAGTATTTACTGCTGTCGTTTTGAAAAGTAAAACAAAGAAACAAAAAGCCCAACTGGTCATACTTAGATAGAAGTTTTTCTCTGGTCCACTTTTGAGATGCAATGATAATAAACCATTGCTGAGTTTAAGAATCAGTAGTAAAAAACCCAAATTCAGAAAGAGAAAGTCAATTTCACAGAGGGCATTTACCTTGGTTTCTTCATCTTCCACTGTGGACTCGGGGTTACTAGGCTTGTGGGTGAAGCTTAAGAATAAAGATAAACAAGAAGGGAGTTTTGGTTATCAGTTATCTGTGGTATTTCCTTATGAGATATTTAAAGTTGATCTGTTTAAAAAAAAAAGAAACAAGCAATTGCTACCCCTTTCTGCTTTCGCTCTCCACCTGTTATTTAGTGGTAAATCATTCATATATCCATGACAAAGAATGTTAGCCCATATATTGGCTGAGCCCCAAAATAATTTGTCTTCACAAATTTCCTCTCTTGAAGCCTGAAATTAAAACCTAGCTATTGGCTCATGCGTTTTTGCTGCCTGAATTATTTAAAAAAATCAAAACAAGACTCAAATTTACAGTATGCCTTTTTTGCTGTCTCCCCTGGTTAAGCAACTGCAATTCACTCAGAATCGGACACAAATGCCCAACGTCCTTCACAGCAGAAACCACGCACTGCAAGAGGCCAGGGAATCTGCATCGCCTTAAAGCAGCACAGAGTCTCCCCAGAACCTCTGAGACGCTGGGAAGCGCTGGACCACAGCTAAAGATCACACGTCTACATTGTGGCTGGCCATACATTAACGATTATGAAAACCAACCGCTGGTCTTCAAATGCCTTCATTTTCAGATCTTCCCAAACCAGCAAACAATGAACCCCTCAGAAAGGTGGGGAAGCTCCCTGGCTGGGGAGCTGACTCCCCGGGAGTGGTACAGACGCTTTGAGGAGCTGAAGTCATTTTCGCACAATTTAACAGAAACACTGAATTTTGTCAGTTTTTACAGTCAACAAACAAACAGAAAGACCCTTTCTCCCAGAACTCTTTTGAATTCTTTAATTTAATTTTTTTTAATTTTTCTCTCATATATTACAGCATCCTTACTGCAGCTCCCTCCCTTTCCTCCCAGCCCCTCCCCACACCTCCCTCTGAATTCTTTATTCTAATGTGCTCTTCTAGATTCCCTAATGTTGTGACCAGAATTTCCTCGTTGTCTTTGTCACACGTGCCACGCTCCCCAGAGTGCTCACCCCTTTCCTAAAGCGCACGCACCGCCGTTACTTCTTACAGACCCCTTCCGCTAGTTCTTTCATTATGGCCAAATGTGAGTTGCTCCTGCTATTTCCATCTTTATCTTCTACACCCACCATGTTACTAAAATAATAAGCTGCTAATGGGGGAGTGGAGGCTGCTGGCCATGGACTTCAAGGTCATGAGTCTCATCGCTGCCACCTAGCATAATCCAAGGATGCTATTTCACAATCTTTTAGTCTCAGGTTCTCCAACAGAGCATGTGGGGAGGATTCTAAACACAGGGTCAAGTTACCATGTGTAGTTTGATTAATCTTCAGCATTCCCTAAAGTCATGAAATTGTACAAGTATAGGAATACTTAGTAGTCAGATATATATATATATATATAAAAGAGAAGCCAAAAACATAGTTATTCACAAAAGTAGTATATTCATTGGGAAAGAAAATAGATTAGAAAAAGAGAAAGTGGCCAAGGAACTGCCAATATGGCAGCTCATGTTGGTATGTAGAAAAGTCAATGAAAAAAAAAATCTTCCAATGAGATTTTTAACCTTATTTATACAATATGGAAATATTCTTCACTTCTAGTAGAATAATTATATATCAATGTTATGTACTATGGGCACCTGTTAGTGAAAGCTTCCCAAGGCCTTTAACTGCTAAAGACAAGACAATGGTTATCAACACAGCATTATGATAAGTTAATGGATTATGGTGAAGCATGGGGAAAAACCTCAACTCTGTGTCTAAATCTGATTTTCTGAACTGGTGTCATATAGACCTGTATTCTGGTCCTTTTAATCTATGCAGAGAAAGAAGAGACAGCATCAGAGGTATGCTGGCACACAGTCAGATCGTGGGTCAGGAACTTGTCAACGACAGGATTATGAGCCAGTTAATCTGCCTTCAAATGAAAGTAGGCAATTATGGGAAGCAGTATGTTGCTTTGTTGTTTGTTTGTTTTTGTTGTTGTTGTTGTTATGGGAGACAAGGTTTCTCTGCGTAGCTCTGGGTGTCCGGGAACTCTCCAGCAGATCAGACCTAGAGATGTGTCTGCCTCTGCCTCCCGAGCGCTGGGCTCAAAGGCGTGCGCCACCAGTGCCTGGCATGAGAAATACGGTTTACTAGAACACTCTGTATACTTTCTGTGACTGCTTGAGATGACAAGTGGTGCTTACATCACATTGGACGTAGCCCAGGGGATATGCAAAAACATTAGTTTCTTTTCTCTGCATTCACTGTCTTAAACAACTGAATCAATCAAATCTCACCTTCCTTTGGAGTAGCATTCAGGACGTGTATCTGCCTCTAAAGATAAAGGGAAAGTACATTTTAAATCAACAAAATGAATAGAAAATTAAGAAAATGGGGAAGTATAATCTTGACATTATATGGCTGGGGCACCTTTTGCAGCATGATTCTCCTGAGAAACATAACTAGTGAGTGCTCTACCAGAAAGGTCAGTTAGGCCAGGGGCTGGCGGCTAATGTATTGGGGGCTCTTCATTTCACTTCTTATATATTTCAAATAAAATGTGGAAGGATAAATGTCTCAAAATGTAATCCATGGCAGGAGGTGCCTCTGTACAACTCCACGGTCACAACTGAAACCAGCCAGCCAGCCAGAAAGCTGTGCTGTCAGCAAAAGCAGCGCTGAAACTGGCTGGCTTAAATGGCTTTGTGCTTTTCTGGACCAATGACAAGGAGACAATTCCGTTCTTATTTTGTTCTGGAGAAACACAGCTTCTCCAGATTGCCATTCAAAACTGTAATGGTAGTTTTGGTTTCTTTAAAAGCTCGGTTGTGTTATGTAAATATGTTTTTGTTTTAATCCCAAGTGTGGGATTTTGATTTGGGCTTTAGTTTGTCCACAGCTGATAGCTGTCTTGTGCAGGGCGTGGTCTTTGCCAGCTGGTAAAGGCCTGCCTCGTGCAGCACAGAGAGGGGTGTGGTCTAGGACTCTGAGGAAGATAAATAGGAGAGCCTGGAGCCAGAAAGTGTGGCGTGTGGCAGTTTGCAGGGACCGGGCATGGATGGTGTGGTGGTTTGGAACAGACAGACAGAGAGAAATGTTTCAGTGCGACAGCCTGCAGTATTTGCTTGCTGTATTTGCTGTTTGTTGATGGAGATCCATGGCCTGAAAAGAACCCCTCTACCTAAACAGCTGAGAGAGGTTAAGAGGTCTGCGTCCCTCTCCCCACTAATCTTCCCTCTCTCCTCCCTAGGGTTGGTGGGGCTGGAAGGGAGAGACTTTAAGGAACCCCCAAATAAAGAGTTTAAAAACAAGTGCAACGCCTTACCGCTGTTGATAGCACCTTTCCCTGTGCAGCAGATCCTGAGCCCTGTAACAGCAGACAAAGGAGCTACACACAAGCCTACATACATCTGCTGTTCCTTCTTATATTCACCTCCTCCTTCTCCTGACTACAGACTTGACGTGAGCATTTATCTCAACCTCTGGCTGCTGCCAAGTCCCTGCTAGGATGGACTTGTTAGAACCCAAGAAGTGCCACACAAACCACTCAGACACTGGTCTCGGCTACATGGTTCATTGAACTCCTTTCCCAAAGCTAATCAAGACCAGGGCCACAGTGAGAGCTCGAGTTCCTAACTGTGACACTGACCTACTTTTATGGCTGCCTTTTTATAGGAAACCACATGTAAAAGACATGGGGAGGGCAGTAACACTCTTTTGCTAACCATACAAAGTGTTATCAGCTAACCTTTAAGCTGACTGGTCCTAAATGAATGAGGAAGTGCTTAGGGTCTTCCAGAGTGAAGCTGAGTGTAACCAAGTGTGTAGACAAGAGTGTGGCCAAGTGTGTAGATAACAAAGTATGAGTTATGACACCATTGAAACTTAGTAAAATAAAAGGTCAAGTTGACCATCTGACAGGATCTCTTCCTGTAGATTAACTTGACCCTGTGTCAGGGTCTGTTTCTGTCAGCTATGAATAACTATGTCTAGGAAGCAAAGTTAAAAAAAATTTAACTTAATTTTACCTTATAAACAAAATGGAAAGGTGAATATGCTGAATAAAAAATGGCTGCAGATATGTCACAAAGAGCAGGCATCAATACTTATAAGCTAAAATAAAGACTTTCTCCTCTAAGGTGCTTTTTTTCAGGGAATTTTTAATTACACAACAGCAAACGGAACTAAGACAAATGAGATCTATATAATCAGAGAACTTTTTCTATCCTCATTTTCCTAGGGAAACAAATAGTTGGGCTCTACTAGGTATTTCTCCAGAACAGAAATCTATTTGCAAAAGGAAGGTTTCAGAGCAACAGAAGAGCAACACGCACACACACTGATTTCATGAATGTCACTTCTCTGGGTAGTCTTTCTTCTGCTTTATCAGGGTAGGCAGATCTGAGTTAGTCCAAGGACTTACCTGGACTGCAAAGGTCACAAACTGCAAGTCCCTCCTCTATGCATTCTAAAGCAGCTTGGCTTCTGCCATGTGTGGTAAAAGTGAGACACAAAATTTATGTTTTAGTAGTCATATGAAAAATATTAAACAAGTAAATAATTAAAGGCTTATTTGATACGATGGCAAGCACCAAAAGTACCTTCCTGTGTTTTCAATCAAAGAAGAAAATGTAAAAATATAGATCATGAATCAAATACAGCACAGACCAGAAACTAGATTAGCGTGACGTCATAGAAAGTACCCAAGTCTGTTTTCCAAACAGACAAGCTTCTTCTCTTATGCTCAGGTTCTTCTAATTGATAAGAATTGTATTGGCTTACTTTACCATGGGTTGTTCAAGAGTCTCATATCTAAAAAACGTGAACAGAGACATAATAAAGTAACATAGATTTTGTTCTCAAAGGTTGGACTTCTTTAGGATTCCAAAGATGTATCATATCACAGGCTCAAACAACGAAGTCTGCACTCACCAGAAATAATGCCCTTATTGGATTATTACCTGTTTTATTTTTGTGACATGTAATTCAGAAGAGCTAAGATAGTTACTTCTAACTATAAATTCTC